AATTAAAATTAGCAAATAACAGTTAATTATATCAAGCATTTCATTTTATATGATATGATATTTTTTTCTTTTTCTATATTCCTTGTGTGTATTTTTTATATGTAGTAAATATTCAATTTTTTATGATTAATTTTTTTATTTTATATTTTACGTAAATATTCGCGTTAATCAATAAGTAATAATATTGCTAGCTTTACCGTTTTCGTTAAATAATGTATTATCGTTCGTAAACGCAATACATCTCGAGACCATGAATACTGTATAAATTATGCGATACTATGTATGATACTGTTAGTCAGCCACGATGCTACGAAGCGAAACACTGGATGGATTAACCCGCGTCCTATTGTCACTATATCTCATTCACGAAGCGGCATGTCGATCTTACAATTGGATGCTATACAATATCCTATATTGTAGCTTCCGTACACCATGTGTGATTAAGAACAAAAGGGAATATATGATGCTGTGCAACTGTACATAAACAAAAAAAAAGTTGCGTTTGTTAACCGTGACGCAACGAATGAATACGTCGTGCTTTTGCAAAAGTGAAATAATGACACATTATAAATATAAAGTGGTATGCGTCATCGATAAACGCTGTACAAAAATGTGGAGAAAAAAATTTTGTCACGAACTTTGTACATTACCGATAAAAAGAGATACAGTTACATATATATATAGATACATAAATTCCATTTGCTGAAGGTTACATATATATTATTTAGCACGTAATTATATTTATATAATATTTCTCAACAATGTACAATAATGAATTCGGTACGAAATAAAACGTACCGCGCAATTTTGAGGCGCATCTGTCCAAGGTGTCAAATCAAAGTGCAACAATGTGTAAAGCGATACACGCTCCAATTTATATTTTAATTTTTTCGCACATTTGCTTTATGGTAGCATCATATTTTTGCAACTTTGTATTTTTTTTGTATATGATTTAATGGAAAAATAATTTATGTGGAGAATTTTTATTTTTATTTCTTCTTTACAAATAGTAACTTAAAGTTAACATCTAGTAGCTAGATAAAAAAATATAGAATGTGTACAGTTATCAATAGTAAGTAGTAAGTACTATACTGTTGCGAATTTACGTTAGTTTAACTTAATAGACTACTTAACTGCGCAGGCGTGACTATACTAGTGAGCAGGAAATTAAATTATGCTTCCGTTACATAGGTGCATCTAGGTCATGTGATTGAGGCCTATTTTCTAATATAATTTTCAAGGCAAAAGTATCTTTGATTCCAACATTGTTATTATCCTACACCTTGATCTTCTTGATCCCTTGATTGAGTAACACAAGTTTGCACATTTAATTACCCGAGTTATCAGCTTTTCAGATTATATATGTACGTCAAGTTTGGCATTTCAAATTATCTATGTTGCTACATTTTATCTGTCGACAAATACTAAATATTTATATCGTGATCTAATATTCAATTTGACTGAAAATGGGTAACTTATTCATGTAATATTATTATATTGTGAAAGAGAACTGGGAAACGAGAGCAAGTGTAATTATTAAATAAGTGGAATTAATCTCATAAATAAAATATCAGTCGTGTCATTAGTGCAAAAGCGGATATATTTATGTAAAAGGATTCCGATAAATATTTATCCGCCCTCCTAGATCAGATAGGAAGAAGCTGTAACACGACGAGAGCACGAACTTACATCTGGCACTTTAGCTTTGCCCACGCTAAGTTTATTTGAAAACTCTGACTCACGAATTCCGAAGATTTCACATCGATGATTCCAGGCGGTAGAATTTCGAGTCCTATATTTTAGCGTGTGCGAGAAATAATTTTGTTTTTTAAATTAATCGTCGCGTTTCCATTGAATTTTATTTCGAATCAACATGGAAATTCAAAATCAACCCTTGTTTTGCGTCCTCTCATTCTCGCCTTCCAAAAATGTCGATGATCTCACGACAGAAAAGAAAAGATCATTCTTCGTTTATATTCAATGGACGGAATGAAAGCAAACACGGAGTGAGCACAGTTCGTGATGTCTTTCGCTGTTCATAAAAGTATTCTGCGACTGGTACACGGTCGCACGCGGCTTCTGTGTTCGCTTATGTGTGTGTGTTAACGTATACATCTCATGGATATGTGAGTGATAGGTACCCACACCTCCGAGATATACCGTCGATTCAGAGATTATGTGTGTACGTAACTAGCACACACGAGGCATGAGAGGGAGAAAGAAAGAGAGAGCAAGGCCAGGGCCGTATATCTAAGAAGTTTTATCGCGGATCGTGGAATTTTTCGCAGGAAACGCGCCTTCCTCCATAAACGTTGTTTATATCTCTTGATCCTCCCAATCTGTGCTAACTATCATTAAGCGAGAGATTACTTCAGTCTTCGTCGGCGCGAAACGATACGAATCAGATGTGTTGCCTGTCGCACTTTACGTATGTGTGTTGTGTTTTAGTTGGTATTTATTACTTAATTATAAATAGAAAAATAATACGAGTTGTTCTCTGCTTCTCTCTCCAATTAAATACACTTCACGCACACAGAGTTGATTTTTATGTTTTTTTAATTAATTTATTTGTAGCTTTAAAGTAAAAAATATTTAAAAAGATATATATATATATATGTCTGACTTGTGACTAAAGTGAATAAAATAATACGATTTGTTCTCTGCTTCTCTCTCCAATTAAATACAATTCACGCACACAGAGTTGATTTTTGTTTTTTAAATTAATTTATTTGTAGCAAATTTAAAGTAAAAAATATTTAAAAAGATGTATATATGTCTGACTTGTGACTAAATTATAAATGAAATAATACAAATTGTTCTCTGGTTTTCTCTCCAATTAAATACATTTCACGCACACAAGGTTGATTTTTACGAAATGTTTTTTTTAATTAATCTATTTGTAGCAAATTTAAAGTAAAAAATATTTACAAAGGCGTATACATATATGTCTGACTTGTGACTGAATTATAATTAAAAAAATAATACGAGTTGTTCTCTGCTTCTCTCTCTAAATAATACACTTCAGCACTAACACGCACAGGGTTGATTTTTATGAAATGTTTCTCTAATTAATTTATTTGTAGGAAATTTAAAGTAAAAAAATATTTAAAAAAATGTATGTACATCTGAGTTGTGTTATCGCGTGGTTCTGACCCGTGATGATACGTCCGCGAGATATACTATTCGCATAAGCGTAACGTGTACCCGGCTGTACCATTCGCCGTTTTCTTGCACGATCACGATTTAACCGTGACGTAATTCCCGTGCGACCCTTATATAGCCCCCAAGGAAATCATCCTCGTGGATTCCGCGACGCTGGTTGCGCTATATTGTTAACAATCGGTTTATCTCTCTCTCCCTCTCTCTCTCTCTCTCTCTCTCTCGTGAGAATATGCGAAGACAATCCACGCGCGATGTTCTTGAAAATCTAAATAGCAATTAGTATTGTTTTTCGTGACATTGTGAAAATTACGACCCATTTATGGTAAATCATGTGAAAAAGAAAAGAAACGAGCAAGGGATAGATTATAATTATAGGCATCGTACATTGTATTTTTTTATTTATATCCGCAGTAATTTTTTTCTCTCTGTTCATCGTTTGATGACAGAGAATAATTTTTAAATTTATAGAGAGCTTCTTGTGCAGAAAATAGTAGTCTCTGCAGCAATTAAAATAATTTGATGGATGCATGCAAATCAAGTTGCATACTCTTCCGCATATTTTTTTACGCCAATTAGCGTTATTCTACGAAATTAAACCGGAAGTTTACTCATATTTGCTCGCTGCGTTATTAGGATACGAAATATACGGTTAGAAGCATAAATCTGTTGTTGAAAATAAAATTGGAGTGTTAATTAAAAACGTGTGTATTGTATCCGTGAATGATTTAATGAAAGAAGTAATGACACATGTGGGATTTTTATTTAATCACCTTTACAAGGATATTATCATATTTTTAGCGTCAATGTCATTCGAGACACAGGCTGTATTAGCAATCTACAAATAAAAATAGAAATTTTACGAGTTTCCTAATTGCTCTTGATTTACGAAAGGGTGTGTGAGTGGACACATTCCCTTCTAACAATAAGTATTATGTACACGAGAGATATGGGACAATGACGTAAGAACATGCGTGCAGCACGATAGAATTCGTTCCTTTTTATTATCTCAAATGGTATCTGCAAGCATTAGAGTGGTTAAACGATATTAGAGTAGTCGAGAAACACATACACACACGTACGCAGTTGGACAGATAATTTAATGGATAGTATATTTTTCTATAATAATAATCTTAATTTTATACCTAATGTAATATATAAGTTGTTTTCTATTTATTAACGCATTGATTTTATCCTTATAGTTTATCGAATTATTTTCACTTTGCGAAATATGTGTAAAAATTCGAGACTGTCGCAATTTAAATTTTTGCACAATCTATATTATGATTATCAATAATGACTACAAATAATAGGCTTATATTTGACGTTAATAAGCTTAAATTTGTTAATAAGCTTAAATTTCTCAAAGTGTGCTTACATATAATGAGCCAGGAGTGCGTGCGTGTGTTGCCTACGCAAAGCAAACATGGAATTTGCGAGTTATTTATAAAACAAGGATTTTTGTATAGGGCTTCAAACCGAGTAAGAGTTCCACAGGCTTTTCACAAGTTTTAATATCGTTGACGTACATCTAAGATTATAGAATTAAAAGCAAATTATTATATAAATTAGCAATTTTAAAGAATTATATAAATTAATTTAAGAAATTATATAATTAATTTATACAATATGATATAAGTTATCTATTTAATTATATTTTTGAAATAATGATTAAATCTCTGTTTTCTTAAGTTACGAAGTTATATATATTATGAAATATATTTAAAAAATATAAAAAATAGGGTTGCATTTTCTACATATATATAATAAAACGAAGTTTGTAAGAAGAAAATTTGCGTATTATTCGTGAAATAATCGAGAACGTGAAATAAATATTCCAGCTTGAAGTCCGGCCACAGTAAGGCGTCATGAAGGAGGTCCAGGAACAGCAGCAGCCGGAATCAATGGAATCCAACGAGTCGGTTTCCGGCTCGAACGAATACGCCTATCGACCGCTCACGACAAAGCACAGAAGGGCCGGAAGTACCGGGACAACCGGTGACGAGGAATACACCACGGACGAGGATGAGCTCTACACGGATGAGGCTGATTGTTCGATCGGCGCGACGCTGCATCCGCCTCATCCCATCCTTAAATCAGACCTCGCGAGGGCAGCCACGGACCTCTTCGGATACGCCGCTAAGCGCGAGGACGAAGACGAAGAACCCACTAGTCTGTTCGATGAGGATGATAACAAGTTCCTAGGTGATAGGTGCGTTCGAGCATTCGTTTCTTCCACATCAACATTTTTTGTAATATATAACTCAGAGTTGAAATAAAATTATGTAGCTTTACTAAATTATTTCGAATAATAGTCAGATCATTTGATTTGGACATGAAAATACTTCAGAGTAGAACTTATAAGCAGTAAGCGATAGAAAGTTAGAAATAAAAATATGAATATATTTTTATATCTCGTTTATAATTTATATTCTTTTATAACTGTGTTTACATAAGCAATCTTAAAAAATATTATCTGAAAATTATTTAGACGAATCCTCATATAATTTTATCTAGACATATTCAAAACAAAATTATTTATATCTTATCTAAGATGAATTTATATATTTTTATCTCTTTATTTAGTTAATTTTAAAATTATCTAAGCACAACACTGCTTATATTATAATTTGAATAAAGACAAATAGAATACACAAAGAAAACAAGTTGAAAAATGTTTTATGTGATGTTTTTATTATAATAAAAAAATTTGGATTGAGTATTATTATTAAAAAATATTGTAATATTTTTGTATATTATTATATAAATTATAATGTGTTTTTTTTTGCGTGATATTTTTGTTTGTAGTTTAACCAAAACCACTCCACTTATCGCGTACAACGAAAAACTACAAGGTGTTCTATCGAGACATCGAAATCCATCAGAGGAGAAAAAGACAGTAAAACCCTGCGAGCTGAAATCTCAGGACTTGAAGTTTTGGAGTCTACAAGTCAACATACAAAACCCTTGGATTTTCGATTGAATGCAACTGAATCTGCGGGAGAAACAAGCAACGAAAAAATTGATACAGACTCGACAAAGGATGACGATTCCCACGAATCCTCGAGAAGATTCTCTCTTCCTAAAGATACTAAGGTAAGATTTTCTTTTTCGTCTTTGATCATTCTTGACATATAGAAATAAAAGGAGGATATTAAGGAAATAAAATATTCTTATTGTGAAATTGTCTTTTATATTAAAAATAAATGTACTCTTTCTTCGAACAAAAACTAACAAAAATAACAAAAAATAAATATTTAAGAAAAACCAACATTTAACGAATGTCTGAAAATTATTTTAGTCGGAAGTACCATTGAAGCAAGAACTGTGCGTTCCTAAGAAAAACAGTACTCCGCCATCGCCTACCACGTTGCAATGGGAAAAAGCAGTGGCCGAAGTGAAGGAGCACGCGGTGGCGAAGCTGCAGGAAGAACTTAAAAGTGCTCATGAAGAATTGAAACTAAAAGACGAGGAAGTAGCCAGACTCTCGCGCATCAGGCAAGATGTGGAAGCCGAGCTGGAAGAACTCACTGCCAGTCTCTTTCAAGTTAGTCCAGTTTTATATTTGTCAAACAGAAAAATCAAAGATCAATACATTTTTATACATATACATGTAAAATAAAAAATACAAATTAATTAAAAATGTTTAATGAAAAATATGTAACACATTGTGAAGCGTTAAAAATTTAGCTATCGATTTATGTGAGAGTTTAAATGCTGGCAACTGCTGAAGCAGTTGTTATTTTGAATGATTACATGTTTGATCGTTCGGATTCATTTAATATAAGATATGCGTGTTTAGGAGGCACATAATATGGTTCGAGAAGCTAATGTACGTCAAGCAACGGCAGAACGTCTCCTAGAAGAAAGTCGCATGAAATCGGAAGTGCTCGCAGCCGAAGTAGCAGCTTTGAAAACTTTGGTGCTCACATCTACACCATCAAGGCCCAATCCCCATTTGCATCCTCAAATCGATACGAAAGGTCGTCTCAGTAATGGGGAAGAGAGTCAGCAAGGCCTTTTTACGAAGAAACATCGAAGGTAATAATTAATTTTTACATTAGATTATTAATTTAAAAGTATTTCAATGTATCTTGAATATAACTCTGAATATTTATATTTCTTACATATTGTTATTGAGAAAAAAATTAAATTGTTTATAATTTCTAACAAATAATTATCTTTAAAGTAATTATAATTTGTAAGATAAAATTATAAATTATTTGTAAAATTATGGAAATCACAAATTTATCGAAAGATTTTTAATGTTTGATATTATATTTAAAAATATGATAATTGCAATTTTGGTGCAGATCGCCGTCGCATTTTAATTTAAAATACGGACGCGAGAATTCTCCGCCTGATTCACCGGTGAAGGAGCAATGGCTACCCTTACCAACTGACAAGGAAATTCTCGAAAGAGATTGGAAGCGAGAACGCGAAAAGGAAAAAGAACGGGAATGCAAAGACTTTGGTTTGGAAGTCGATCCGAGAGTACATACAGAATTTCTCAGATGGAAGGCGAATCCTTGCGTTGACAAGAGCGATTCCTTCGTCGCGAGGGTATTTAGGGAGGATATCGACTTGTGTCTGGATTTTCCTAATAAAGAATTGGGAACTAAAGTCAGACAAGCCGTCCTGGACGGTATTATTTTTATCGAGGCGGTTAGCGACAAAACAAAACTCGCTTTTCCCAAGTACGTATTTACGAATTATATTTCAATACTCGATATTACATTTTATAGTCGTAACATTTTGACAAAGGTTCCGAAATATGCATTGCATTACAAGCAATTATATTATAACAATGTGTTGCAAGACTGTAAAATTTTTTCAATCATTTAAAATATAAAATATTTTGATAAAAAAATAGCGACAATATTTTAATTGCAGAAAATGCGCACTGTTGGAGGCGCCACGACAATGTCATTATCGTATGCGACTTGGTGACCAAGAGAATCAATGGTACTGCATTTCGCAGATCTGTCGCAATCGAGTAAGTTTTATTAATGATTAGTTTAATTTATTTTTTACATCATAAACGATCCTGCTTTGTAAGCAATTCTGTGTTTTATATTGCAGATTATAGCAGTGTGCGATTTTCTTAATTATCTGAGATACGTCGAGCGCGGCCTCGTCAAAAGCTCAGGTAAAATATAAATACATTTTACATTATAATACATAATAGAGAGTAAAGTTTCAATCAGAAAATTATGTATTGAAAAGTAATAATAATTGTTTAAATTTAATAATTAATTAGGAATGTAAAATGTTAAATGGGAGTGTTGAAAATTGTCAAAAATTTAAACATCGAAAAACATCTCTCTCTATTAATATTAATAATGAAATCTAATTGAATTTTGTAATACCCTTTCAGTTCATGACGTGTATTGGGAAATCACGCGGCTGAGAAAGGAAATGGTTTTCGCACGATTGGGTCTGGCATTGTCATCCTGAGGTACGCGCAGACGGGATGTTATTTAGTCTCGAATTAATTCTAGCCAGGAATTTTTTGGGAGTAGAATCGATCGTGCGTAGATTGTGCAAAAAAAAAAAAAATTGATAGAATTAGCGACGATCTCGTCGATCATCGGCCTTTCGCCTAGCAAAAGATGGTAGTTTTTATTATCACTTCTGAGATATTAGTCTCTCTTTAACTCTGTCAAATAATTCTGACGATAACGATGTTTCCAAGAAATTTACATATTTGTTGAAGAGGCTATATTATTTATGAGAAAGTAATTTATTCATGGAACTTGCTTCTATTTTGAATATCTCACAGCGCGATCAATGAATTAACTCGCTGTATCAACTTTTTTCTACATCTTTACTGACATAAAGTTAACTCAGGATTAGATTGACATTAAGTTCCAGTAAAAGAAGCGTCATATTTTTGCCGCGTATGAATTTCTTCGAAATATTGATACCCTCTGTGGCAGAGGTCTTAGGTTTAGTTATATTTGCAAACAAGTTAAAAGGTGACAATGAAGCTGATTACAAGGCTGTGAATGATCTTGACATGCGGATCAGATATTACTGATGGCTCTCCTATATGAAAAGTGTAAATAATAGAAGAGATTTTTGAGAGATATTGTATCATGTTTTCTCAAGTTTAACTGAACATCATCAAACTTATCGTTAAATTCACTCGTATGAATTACAACGTTCAACAATTGAATTTCAACGTGTAAATTACAATACAACGGTTCAACGACAGTTTTGAATCTATTGACGTTTATTCCATGAGATAGTTAACGGTTAACAATCACCTTATATAATCATATTATATAAAATTACATTACGTCGTGGTTTGGTATTAACATCGAAGAAGAAACACTCAGTGTGAATTATTTATATTTAAATCTTAATTTTTGATTTGTCATTGTATATTGATGTCGTATTAATGAGTCGTCCCGATGATTATTTTGTTGTATTAATTTATCGATTTGTACGTTGCGTTAATTTCTATTAATAGCTTCCACTAATTAATGGTTGTTAATTATTAATATATTAAAATTCTTTAGTGTTTGTACCGAATCCCGAGATTGTAAAATTGTCACTTAGATCTAGTTATACTCATTGTTGGATCATGATGACTATATATTATATATATACATTCGATATTATTACTCTTAGGAAAGAGATTTACATCTGTGTGGACCATACGAATCTCCAAATTCTTAGTGTACATAGAACTCGGAACTTCTATATCATGTCTCATCTTCTACACGTCTATCATAAAGCATCCGGTTGTACGGAACATTTGTTTCTACTCTATAAATATTAATCATGGCATGTTGAAAGTATAGATTCTTTGACAGAGATTACGTTAATAAATGTCAATCAAGACTGATATTTACATCAGTCATGTATTTTCAGAGATTGTATATACAAAATATCTATTATATATTTTGTTTACTACGAAAAAAATATTTATAATGTTTTCCATTTTGAATCACGATATATTCGATATAATCGATTCTTCGAGGTAAATAATCTCTGCAACAATTCGCTTGATTCGAAATATTAAATTAGAAAAATGATCGAGATGAATAGTTATTTCGATTCTTATAAAGCGATGCTGATTTATTAATAAGGCTTTTATTTTGACTCTGTGTTGTCTTCCATTATTTATCTTTATTCGCTATGACAGTGAGCAAAAATATGCAAAATAATTTGTGAATTATGTAACTCATGCCAAGCGTACAAATTGTGGCCAACGATAAAAACGACTCTAACAGCACCACATATCCCGAAGACGTTCAGAGAACATCCTGAAGATGTTCGAATGTTCTCTGAATATTCTCTAAATATCTTTCGGATATGTTGTGCTATTAGAGGAATGACGTTCTCTTATTATGGGGGACGTAGAAAAAGACTTCTTGTAAGCAGTTTTCTCCTGTGAATAGAAATGTGTTAATTGTATATCAAATGTGTAAATAGCCTTCTAACATTTCTTGAGATAGAAACTTGTATTTAAAAACGAAATATAAATTATCGCCATTGCAAAAATGTGATGTGACTAATCATTACAATTCTTTTAAAAAATTTTCTCTTCCTCTCTCTCTTTCTCTCTTAATTAATTCCATTTTATAAATTATCGCTTTTTCGCAGAAAATTATAAAATACTGTATAATGTTGTACAGACATAATACCTTAATAGACTTTACCTTAATATATAATATATAATATTAATATAGCGCATTAATATTAACGAGAAATAATTATTTTCTCTTGATAACATTAACACATATATCAGGTGGTGCAATTGTAAATCCATCGACGCCATCTAAATTAGGATGCGGATATTCCGGAGATAACGTAAACTGAAATTTCTGCAGCAGACACGCAGTGAACAAAAACACGCTGTTTCTCGCCAAGATTTCGCCCAAACACTTTCTACGACCTGTTTTATCGTAAATTTTATTACAATCTCTCTTTCTCTCTTTTTTATATATATATTTTGTGTGCACATAAAATTACATGCGTATTTCCTTCATACCTAAGCCAAACGGCATTAACCAGGGATCCTCGACGTAGTCTCCTTTATCGTTGATGAATCTCTCGGGCCGAAATTCTTTTGGATCGCCCCAATGTTTCTCGTCCATATGGACACTTCTGAAATTGGCCAACAAGGTATAGTTCTTTTTGATTTCATAGCCAAGTAAAGTAGAATCGATCATCGCTCGATGAGGAATTGACGTAGGGCCGATATTTGCTAGTCTGGATACTTCCGCTATCGTTGCATTCAAGTATGGTAGTCTGAAAATTCTCGCGGTTACTTAAATATCTGCGCGAAACAATATTTGCGAATGAAGATAATATATTGTATGTATACCGATTTTTGTGCGCTACACGAGGTAGAATTTCCTTGCCCAGCACCCTCTCAATTTCCTCGTGTACTTTTCCTTGCACATCCTGCCTCACCGCGAGATGCGTTATTATAAAGCCAATTGTGTTGTTCGTCGTTTCTACACCGGCGGTAAAGAGGTCTTTCAGGACGCTAATTAATTGCTCCTCTGTAAATAAGAATATTCTTAAATTTATGCAGTTTTTTAGCGCTTGAGAATTTAATGCATACATATCCATTTATAGAATTTATTACAATATATCATTAAAAAATAAGCTATTTTCTTAAATGATGCTCTTTTTTATTTTCTCTTTTTGATATAATGGTATTATGATTTTTTTATGATTTATGTATATAATATGATTTAATATACAGGAAATACAACTGATATTGAAATTTGTGTTTTCATTGTATGCGGGACATTGTATACCGTCGAAGCACGATATAATTGAGCTAGATTGCTCCATTTCCGCTAGGTAAACATCAATAAAGTCTCGAAACTCGCCGTGCATTTTAGTTTGTTTGTGCTTCGCAATTTCACTCTGAAACAAGACATTTTGTATATACGGGTAATAAAGAAAATAATATCGTTAGACGTAATGTATTGCAATTACCCTAAAGAATTGTGACATTCGTGCTAGTCTCTGATTTAGTACGGTAAATCCGGTAAAATTTGGGATAATGTATCTTAAAAAAGGCAAATGGGTCAAGATGCCGCCGGTGACGTTGCTGTTTCTGATCAGATCGTTTACCACTGATAAAACTTCTCTTAATTTTGGGTTCTCCTTGGTCAAGTCGAATCTACGATCAATGTTTTCAAAGTTATTTTTGGAACTTAATGACACAGTAACTTTAAATATCATACCTCGATCCAGCGATTAACGTCCATAAACTATTAAGGACTGCTATGGAGGTGATATTGTGTAAATTTGTAATGGATCCTGATTTAGCCAACGATTCTATTATGTTGGTTAAGGAAACTGCATCGTTTAATATTATATCTTCCATCGCCATTTTTCCGAATCCAAATTCTTTTAATGTTCTCAGAACAAATCTGAATAACTTGTAACAAGTTGTAATCTGATCTAATTTTTTTTAATCTTATACAAAGAATGATTTAACAGTATTTTAAAAAGAGAGTGTCTTTATACATTTTTAAAAATATTAAAAAAGTATTAAATCACTTATTATTATTGCCTTAATTTAAAGGATAATATACGTAATAATCAAAATTTAATTTCTAATTGAGGATGAAAAATTTCTTTTATTATATAGAGATAGAGAGAAAAATTGATATATTAATAATATTGTAGATATCACACACAGAGAAGACACTTTTTATACAATAAAATTATATAATATTTATATAGGTATTTTGATATAATAATCGTACACAAAATACCTTCTTTGATTTCGCCAAATATCACCATCGGTGAATATTACACCTCTTCGTTCACCCCCTGTGCGATGTTTATATAAAAATCCATGGGGTCTACCGTCGAATTCAGGTCGACTCATCATTTCGAGCACGGCATCCCTACCGGAAACAATAATCAGCGGTTCGGCTGTGCCGAGTTTCAAGCCGACGATGGGTCCGTAAATGTCGGCCAGCCGACACCAAGCATGAGAATAAAATTTGGTCTCCTCGACCAAACGTTTCATGTCGAATATGTTTCCTACGAGTGGCAGGCCGCGAGGTCCTCAAATAAAATATTTTGTCTCATATAAGCAAATTTTATGTCGATTCAAAATATTGGAGCGAGCAAACCAAATTAGAAACACTCATCGCAGAAAATAGAATTTATTATTATTATTATTATTATTATTATTATTAAACAAAATAATTTCATTTACCTGGGGGAAATTTTGATGAGTGTCGCCAGTCGTGCAGGATTTTTATCGTAAATCCTATCGCCAGACAAATGATTGCAAACCACATTATTTCTTCGTTATTTAACAAACATTAAAATCTTCTTACATTTTAAAGAAAAATTTGGAGAACAAAATAAATTAGGGATATGATCGGACGAATAAGTAAATTTGACATACAATGTCGAACATATAAATCGATTGTACTTTATTGTCACGCATCGGATTGTCAACTGGCACGAATCGGAACTGCATAGGTCTCGCGGAAATGCCTATATATGAGGAAAACTTCCTTTCACTAGTATATTAGCCAAGAGGGCTTTGAGCTCAAGGTTGTTCCGAAATCATATATGTGACTAGACCTGCACATATTTCTTCGCAAGTGTCTCTATCTTTCGTATTTTTGTTTTATTTTGTATCATGTAACCAGATCTTTTACGATAGCTGGACATAATTAGAATGTTCTGAATCGTATGTTATGCAAACTTTGGTTATTAAAATTTTTGCTATTTTTATGACACTTTATCATGTGCGTTGAATAACTTGGTACATTTATTGGTAAAAAATCCAGCTCGGTATTAATTTTTACATTATTTTTTAATAATATTATTTTGCAAAGCGACGTGAGGCGAATTAGAAATATGAGATGGTGCTTTTGCAAAAGTGTGTACCTTACAAAAGTAGACATAGAAAAATCATTCGGAGGAATACGGTGTTATATATTGGATCGTTGTTAATATCGATGATTATAGTGGTGCGAGGTGGTGATGACGGAGAAGTTATAAGCGACAGATGTGAGAATCGTAAAGTACAATTTCCAATCAAACCCGCCCACATCAAAGCGTTCCGATCTCTCATTTCGGCGCCGGAACTCGAAGCAATAGGGTGTTTACGATTTCGTGTTCGAAACACGTGCGATCTCCCCATATATCAATCTTCCTCTTCTATTCTCCGACTCGTATCGACATCCGTCTCCCTTCGATTTCTTCCACCTAATGTGCCACGTCAAATCGAAACGAGAACGATCGAGCGAACCGATCGCGACATTAACGATCGCGAGCCATTTCAAGTCGTCGAGTTAATTCGACTGCGATTACTCGGTTCAATTGCCGAATCGTAGTACGCGGGTTGTTGACACTGTTAGGTATTGGTAGTTTATTCATAAACTTATTAATCAACTATATCCTTTGCACGGCTCGTTTGTACATTGCAAATAATTAGACTTCATATAAAACAGAGATACATATAAGAAATGAAAAATAATTATTCTCTTCTTATTTCTATTATTGTCGAAATCATGCAAGAAAAATTTCACAAATAAGGTACACTTTGAAAAAATAGGAATTTTTTTTAATAATAAATTTTACTTGTTATAGATTCATTAGATAGAAGTGTATATATTTTTTAGCATTTTTCTCATACAGAAAAATTTGCCTATTACTTTATTAATAACAAAATGACGTCGTAGAGGAGGCCATTGGCGATTCCGGAGTTTTCGTTCTAAAATCGCAGCATGCGATGGTAAATTGCCTCTTGGCGTTCAGTAGCTATAAAACGTTCAGCGGAGAGACAAAGAAAATTGTACAAAGCAATTTGGCCTCACTTCTATCGGTATACAATAGATGACCGCGAAGTCGCGTAACATGCGTATGACGAATGGTTGTGTGCTGGTGGCAATGTTGAGAGAAAAGGGGGACCGAACACTAATAATCATTGAAAGAGCAGGAGCGGTTCTTGATTTTCCCGTACGCAATTATTAATTGACGTTATTCGCTGAACGATCTGTGTTCTATTAAGCAAAAATTCATTTCACGAGATGATTTTTTGTCATATAGAGACTTCAATATGTTCCTGCAACATAGTGCAATGAAAAATTGAAGAATATTTTCACAAGAATACATTTTTATATTAGACATAACTTATTTATAAATGGACATAATTATATGTAAAAAAAAGACAGTTATATAAAATATAATTAAATGCTATTTGGAGCGAACTGAATTACTGTAATTCAAGGACGTAAGATAACTGGAATTAATTAAAATTGCAATTTATTAAATGTGGCGAGCAAAATGTTCTTCTTGTCATGTAGACGAACAAAGCAACAGGATTTTATCGTGCATAACGAACGAAGACTTCTAAATTAAATATTTCACGGTCAATTATCGATTGCCTGTTAAACTAGAATGAATATATAACCATATGTAGAATCTTCTCTCATAAATCTAAAGAAATCAACGTCGTACAGCTCTCTATAGTCTCTGAAATAAAAATTTTTATATAAATAAATACCAAATAGTACAAATGTCATTACAAAACAATACAAAAATGATAAGCGAAAAGCTTTTATTTATATTTTTATTCGAAAATTGTTTTATTAACAGATCGTACTAAGTATTTTTGATTAGTTGAAACTACTCGTACAAAATACTCGTCGTTCGACCACGTAAGGCTTTTTGATGAAGTAATTATGTCGACAGGATGCATTGACGGCAAGATAAGTTTAACTGATCAATCGAAGAGGAAAGAGCTATACTAGAAACATTAACGCGAGGAACAAACGGACGAGACGTTACCGTTTCTGATAACAACTCCGGAAGATCGAGATGTTGGATCGTGAGCTTAAAGTCGGAGCGGGGTTGGAAGGATTTGATAATAGGTGGGGATGGTGGCCTGTGCATTTACCGAAGGTGCTGGATCTAGCCGAGTTGGCATTCGTGAGCAACAGAATCCGAATCAACATCGGACGAGGGCTGCCGTGCGTCATTTTGGATCATTCGTCGTCAGTATCAAAAGGGAAATCGTGACCCGATTCTTGGTGATTACACTCTTATCGTTTAGTCGAAAGCTAGACATTCGATTAATCTATTATCGATATGTATTATCAGGTAGATTTAGCGCAGAGCAACGAGTGGGATTCTGATCTGATGTTGGGTGCAAATTGATCGAGATCAGGACATAGAAGATTTGAAACGAACGGAGAAGCGACACACATTTTGGCGGCGATGTTGGTTCGCGCGCCTTATACCCTATCTTTCGTTCTTGTGGTAAGAATTGTCTTCTTCTGTCAAACTTTTTGCATCGCAATCTATTTAAAAGTTAATATAAATTTAAAATTATTGAAGAATATTTTTTGTCTTGTATAACCAGAGTTTATTCAATTTGTGAAAATTATTTAATGATAAAACCTTTTTGCATAATTTTTTGTGTAATTTCGATGTTTAATTGATCACAAACACATCTAAGAACACATTTAGAAGAAGATAGAGAAATTGAAAAAAGTTTTTATTTATGTGTACAGAGTTTGTAATATATATCTATAAACAAGTATATAAAAAATTAATGAAATATTATGTTTACAACAGACTTTTTTCTCTATTTCGATAAACTAATTATAAAAGTTCGTTAAATTTCTCACTTTAACAAAATCATAAATATATCAAATGCACGATGGAAAAGCAACTAGATTCTTTGTTTGTCTCGGCGAATATTGCCGTCTTATCGTATATAACATTTTATTACTCGATCATTCTCACTTTCGTGCCGGCGTACTGTGCGGTCATTTCGTTGGTTAATCTCGCGTGCCGAGATATCGGGTTTGCATGGATGGATCGGATCAATTGTGTGAAACTGGTGTTTTCTAAATTAAATCATTTGCATGATCGCGTCACCGGACGATATTAAGCGTCTTCGCGAAACTTTCACATATATTTCGAGAAATTGTATTACGTATTTGTTCGTACAAAGTAATTTATTTGTACTTTAATTAAATATACATCATTGATATTGAAAGATATTTTTTAGAATGTTTTTAATAATAATTTATCGACGAAATATTTATATTTGTTCGATTAAAATAGGTGTGCAGTTGGTTTAGACATAATGCTGCGATTCCATTTCCCTCTCGTTCTTCAGACGCAAGTCGAGTATGTAATCTGTAATTAATGCATATTTCTATTTGCATTAATCTATTTTATTTCTGCAACACGTTTATAATTATTTTTATTTCATTATAACTCTCAATATATTTTTTAATATATTGGTCCATAAATACTTTATTCTTATATTGTATCTTAAATCCTTTGTATATGTTTTACATATTTTTTTTCTATTTCTTATTGTTTGGCTATTTATAATGCTTTAAATTAGAAAATTTGTGTCAAGTTTTGTTCTTTTTAGAGTAATTGGAAAAAATATTTCTTCAGAATATTTTTATATTTTTGTCGCTATCGATATATTTGTAATTTTTTTTATAATTATATGTTTGAGTACAGCAGTTTCTACGTTTTTATTAAACAATGCTTAATTAAACACTGCTACGATTTTTCGCCATTATTGCAATGCTTCTATTAGAATTTCTTATTATTTATTTATCAGCTCATAAATAATTTGTGAATAAATCTTAATTATTTTTTACTGAGATATATATTAATAAAATTATGCATTATTATGATTTGTTTTGGTGCCCATATAAGTTTGTATATACATATATTCGTATTTAAATTATTTTGTACATATTTTTCCAATTTTATATTAATTTTCTGTACTTAATTCTTTAGATACGGGATGTTATCAAAAATAAAGAAACAGATTCTTCTCAAAGTTACGATGTTACTTCGCAATCTCACGCAAAGAAGCCGGAATCATTGGATGATTCAGTCTACGATGATGGTGACAACGAAATTTATAAGTAAAGTATAATCTCATTAAAATAAATCTATATAATAAAACGTATAATCCGAATTAATATTAAGATATAATTGGGAATAATGCGACTGATGAGAATAATAAATATAAGAATATTAATTCGTTAATACAAAATATTATAATTGCCCGCATTATCAGTCAATGATTCGACTTTTTAATCTTTTTTTTACACAGCATAATAAAGAATGAAAACGTGAATCAAAATGTGAATCAAAACACGAATCAAAACGTGAACATGAATGTCGTCAATCATGGGCGCAATCGTCATCGAGTCAAACAGTTTCATAAACAAGGCAAACAGGAACAAACTTTTAAAAAAGAAACTCCTAGAAAGGAAGTTTCTAAGAAGGTTACATCACCATACAATTACTACAAAACGCTGGAAAATATTTCCGAACAATCGACGAACTGCTCAAGCGGCAAAAAGGAAAATCAAAGGTACTCGAGTAGCTTCGTCGGAAACATAACGAATCATACGCTGAGCGTCGACAAGGAGTTCAACGAAGTGCTCGGCAATAATTCCAAAGTAAAGAAGATCAGCAGCGTCCACGAGGACGAGGATATCACTTTGTGTTGGATCGAGACGACGACCATTAAAGAGAACAAGACCGTACAACCGCCGAAGAGACTGGTGATCCGCGAATATACGATTTCCTTTGAGAATTCGGCGACTATACCGGATAAATATCTCGAGTGCAAAAAGCTTGAGGGCGAATTAACAACGAACGACAAAGAGATTGGTAAGACGATTTTATTCGAGGTTTTGGACGAAGACACCAAAGTCAGCAGGATCGTCAATTTTACTTCGGTCAGTCATGTTGGTGACATTATTGTCTGGCAGCACAAAAAGGTAAAATGTGGAGTTGGTCCGGTAGTCAAGAAAAACATTGTAGAGTGGAACGACGGTTCGAAGAACCCGAAGAAGAGAGTGGAAATCAAAGTTAGTCCGAAAATTAATAAATTAACGGCAAACACTGAAGAAGAGCTCTGCACCTCTTCCGAGGAAGCTGAAAAGGGACATTCCACTACTGAATCCTGTACGGAAAGCGGCAGCTGTGAAGTGACCACAAAGTCTGAGAATATTTCAACCAAAAATAAGAGCGAAGAGATCGCCAAATCATCAAAAATCGAAAGAAGCGGTGAAAGCGAGAGCGTAGAAGATCTGTCTACCGGTATCACGAAACCTTCGACGTCATCTAGCGAAGAAGTATTTAATAATACAGTTGAAACATCTACTGTAAGGAAAGACATCTCGGACTGTGAAGAGGACTCGTCGGATCCAATTTGTACGACGCAAGAGAATATCACGCCTTCTTCATCTTCGGAAGAACGATCCTCCGAATCAGGCGCGAAGGATGTATTTCGAACTGTTATTAAGGAAATAAAGAAAGAGACTCCTGGCAAGAGAAAAGAACCGAGAATTGCTTCTGAATTGAGCGAGGAAGAAGTTCCTGATTTAGTTACTGAAGCGACTACTCCGCTCGCATCTACGACAGAAATTTTAGTAAAATCTTCGGAAGAGCTCGAATCCCAATCGAAGGACAAAGGATCTGTTACAACTCCGGAAAATATAGATAATAGCACACCAGAAACGAGTACTACGACAAGCGTAACGGAAAATGAGAAAGAAGAGCTCGCGACGACCGAAGAAGATAAGGAATATACTTCTCTCGAGTTGACGAGCGAAGAATTAAATGAGATAAATCAAATTCTGCTTTCAGATTTAAGTACAATAACTTCAAGTGAAATTAGTGCTGAGCAGGTTATTACGACTACAGCATCACCGTACGAATTCACCGAATTTGTGAAGGAATCCGAAAAAGTTAACAAGAGTTTAAGCAAGCTATCTAAAGTTTTAATCGAAAGGGTAACCACTCCGTCATTATCGACATCTGAAGAAGTATCTAAGGAAAGCGGACTAATACCCGAAGAGGTGTCGACAATTGGACCGAAGATTACAGAGAAAGGAGCAACTACTTCCACAACATCATCTACGGATGTCAAGTCGACAGCAAGCAACAAGCTTGATTATTCGTGTGGGGACTCCGAGGATTGCTCATACGTCAGCAGTTCGGAATCTTGCGAGGAATCAGAAAATTGCAACAGTGCGACCACCGAGTCCTGCGAATCAGGGATTTGTTCCGAGGAGGAAATCGAGGATCGATCGAAGAGTCAATCGGTCGTGACAACTGATTCGTCCGAAGAATCAGCGACAGTCCAAGTTCAGCACACGACTGTAGCAAGTGTTGCGACGACTATATTGCCTGTTCAGGAGACGGAGAACATTTCAACGATCGGCAGCGTGGACTCGCATCGAAGAAGCACGACTATAAGTACGCCGCGGCACAAATTGACCTTGAAAGTAAAGGTTCTTCTGGAACATGTCGACGAGAGAAAGGAGAAGCACAACCTAGTCGAGGTTGAGAAGCATCTGTCGTTGAACGAGAACTCGGCAGAAAACGATCATTCCGACTTTCTGAAAAAATTGAAATCCTTGAACGACTCTGTCAACGAGGACACCTTAGGCGCATTGTTAAATTGCACCAGCTTAGGCAATTTGACAAAGAAACCGATGCATATCAGTGTCACGCAATCGAATCATCCTATCGATTATAGTTATGAGGAATTGGAATCTACGATATCTCCTTCTGCCTATGAAGAATTCATTCCAGAGCAGTCGACTTCTGGACGCAGCCTTGAAAATGAGGACTCCCAGTATCCTGATTACGCTGAAGAGAACGAGATATCTCGAAGACGAAGACGCAGAAGCCTGGATGATCAAAAAATAGGAGATTTAAGCGGATTCGATACTACTAAACAGAATCTCTCTGATCAATCGATTTCGGCTAATTCTTTGAACGTTTCAGAAGATATTCATTTGACGAACGAAACTATACATCTTTCCACGACGACGAGTAACCCCGAACAGGAGACAAGTGCTGCGTATATAGAGAATGAAATCAATATAACCAAAGAAGGAAATGACAGCGTAACGTTTTCGACAATAAAGGACAGCGATATTGATTCTTCAAGTACTTTGGACTATCAGGATGTTAATGCGACAAAAGAGATCATACAACTTTCCACGACGACAAACAATCCTGAAGAGGAAACAAGCATAGGACGTGCAGAAAACGGAAACGATACAACTACGGAAACTGTTTTAAGCACAGTAACTTCGATAAAGGAGAATGTTGACAACGGGACGGGATTAGACGTTGTGCGACAGACATTATCGGAGATACGGGAGGACGTTTCAGTCGGATTGCAGCACGTGATGTCGGAATTGATGCAAAATAATCTGACTTCTGTCAATAGCATTAAGAAAATACTCCAAACGAATGTGCTAAATGTCATAGCGAATCCCAAGGATGCCAGGATTCACTCGAGGACAAGACGAGCGGTTGAGGAAGAGGTCGGACACTGGTTGAACGAAAGGATCACGAAGACGCCGATGGGCGGCAGTCTTAGAAGTTTCACCGAATTCACTTTGTACAAAGTTCTGCCTTGAATAGATGTTTAGCAAGCTCAAGTTTGATTTTAATATCACATAAAAGATAATTTTGAAAAAAGCTGAAATCACACACACACACAAACACAGAGAGAGGGAGAGAGAGAGAGAGAGAGAGAGATTGCATTGTGTGTGCGTACATTTCTCATTATGCCCTATTAATTTGATCACATAAATTTATAAGAAAGACTTCGTAATTTAATTATAAGTTTGTCTTTCGAAACATGGTAGAAAATTGAATCAAATTATATAAAAGTATGCTTTTATTTTTTCCAAAAAATGTATTTACAAATGTATAAAGAAATATAATATGTGCAATTAATAATAAAATTAAAGAAAAATATCATTTGTTGATATAACTTATATACATATTTATTAAGATAATTTTCAATAAATTGCCTTAGCAATATGAATTTAATCAGTCAATTTATCTGGCTTTTGATATGGAATAAGGAACACATATTTACAACGTTTAATAAATCTTTTAAGCGCACGATTGATTATCGCGCGAACGATTATAGCTCACACGTTTATAACGTTCGAAAATAATTAATCGCGAACAACAGGAGCACAATTGCATGGACCGAATCGCTGTTATAATGGATTGTACTAACGAGGAATTGTTACGTACTTTTATTGTTTTCATTAAGATGAAAATAATCCCGCGAGTAATAAGCATGACTGTTAAGCACTCGATAGTTAATAGCCTGTTTATTATTTTTTCCCTATCAGTCTATAACATTTCTTTTATGTCGGAAACCTCTTTGATAATGTGTAATTATAAATAATTATACTATCGCGCCGCATACATTCTCCTTTATCTTCGTTTGAGATCAAATGATTATTTCGCGTAATATTTTTTAAATATTTCAATTTTCTTTCTTCTCGATTCACATTACTTTCGCTATTCAATTACAATATGTATTTGTTACAATTAAGAAGATTATTTATTTCTACATTTTTATAAACTATTTAATAATTAAGAACGATATATTTAATTCGACCCAAACTAGCCAAGAAAATTTTTATTTTATTTTCATTTATTTGTGGAAATAAAATAAAAATTTTCTTGGCTAGTTTGGGTCGAATTAAATATATCGTTCCTATTTTAAATACCACTAGCGACGTTTTAAATATTCAATTTGATTTTATTTAATAATTGTTAATATATAATTACATAATGATACATCTGTTTTCATAAAACATTACATCTTATGCAGATTGCATCGATGCATTTGCATAATTTGATTGTATTCCTGAGCATACGTATTTCTCTGGCAACACGCATTTCTCCGATGTCGGTTGGAACACTAACGTTTTCGGGCACGAGAGATTGCCCATTATGGTGTAAGAGGTGCCATTCCAGTAACATAGATAATACATCTTACAATATACGTCCTGTATCGGGAATCTGCCGTATCGAGTGCAGAGTGGAGTTTGCTCGCACGTAGTCGAATTCTTGGGCACGCATTTGCCTTGATCAGGATCGAATATGGCAGAATTGGCACATGACAACATCACCGGCGTCAATTGTTGGCCGTCATCTATGCACATGTAATAATTTCGACACGTTCCATCGACGATCTCGAAAAACCCAACTTCGGTGCAGTTGTATTTCGTCGTATCTTGAGCCTCGATGACTTTGAGCGCTCCGAAGCACAGAAGACACAAAAGGATGATTGAGAAACGTTCCATTATTGCGTGTCAAGTTGTATCGATTCGATGTGCGACTGCGATCCAATTTATAATGTCATTTATAACGACAAAGTTTATGGTCCAATTATACCACCTGACATACGCTCGTTTATTAGGGATTTAATTAGGATTTAATTATCAGACAATGCAGGTAGACATCTACATGATCACAGTACACAGATAAAATGACAAGACCTTGGCATCAATTTACGCATCTCATCTCTATTTAATATCTTGAAGCTGCAATCTAAATTTTCTTTTTTGATTAATCTTCGTACAAATTGAATTCTTCAATATTTCTCTATTTTTCCTCAGAGTTATTTTTATCAATTTGAATATCTACCATTTTCTAAATCAAGTGAAATAATTGATCGGCTAAATATTGATAAATTCAATTACTAATGCGATGAAATTGAAATGTATGTTCAATTTGAAATCAAGACAGTACGCGAAGACCATCCCCAGAGACGTTTCTGTTCAGGTAAAACGTTGGACGATTTACTTATCTTAAAGCTGCAATCTAAATTTTCTTTTTTGATTAATCTTCGTACGTAAATTGAATTCTTCAATATTTCTCTATTTTTCCTCATAGTTATTTTTATCAATTTGAATACCTACCATTTTCTAAATCAAGTGAAATAATTGATTGGCTAAATATTGATAAATTCAATTACTAATGCGATGAAATTGAAATGTATGTTTAATTTGAAATCAAGACAGTACGCGAAGACCATCCCCAGAGACGCTTCTTTTCAGGTGAAACGTTGGACGATTTACAATGCGCCGTTTTGAACTGGCGACAGCCTTACGACGAGGAAATCGAGGGTGAATCTACGGAATACAAAATCGCCAGAAAGCGGCGAGAAAGTCGCGCACCGGGTTTAACGTCCTGGCGTTATTAAATTGCACGTTTCTATACGTGCTGGCGTTATGTGTCGATTATGTGCGCATATCCTGTATGTAATCATCGGATCAAAATAAATCATTTCTACGCTTCATTTCCGCTCTCTCGTATCAAACGTTTATTTATTTCGCAGCTTGCTGCTAGAGAGTTTCAAAATCTCTAATACAATTATTTTTCATATAAAATATAATTCTATCATCTACACATAAATGTTTATTGCTTATGCATTTATTTTCTTGTTTTAAATGAATTTTATTAAGATTATTTGACAACTGCAATTTGTTTAATATAGCTTTTACAGCCCTTCTTTGTTCACAAACATTAAATTTAATAGAGCTTATTACTATTTTTATTAAAATATAATTTTTCATCAAATATAATTTTAATTAATTGTCCTATATATTTTTTTATAATAAAAATATATAAAATATGCGCTAAAGAATATTACGTGAAACTCGGTTACGAGCATTCGAACAAAGGAACCATTTGATCGACATTCCAACCCTCGACTCCAGATACCTCTTCACAATACTCGTACTTATCGCCAGGACGATCGAGGGATGAGATTTTCCGATCAGGTAGAAAAATCCTCCGTTTTTCCTTCGTGGAAGGTCTCACAAAAAGAAAAAGAAATCGACCGAATTGCATACGGAGGGATCCTTATTTCGGAGCGAGGGAAAGGTGCAACGGGAAGGAGAGAGAGGTGTCAGATAGGAAGGAGAGAAGCGCGAATGTATATAAGTGACTTGGACCGAAGACGCTTCAATGGACTCTCTCTTTGACCCTGATCGAGAGCGCATCCTTCCTCCTATTTTCATTTTTTTTCTTTCCATCTCTTTTCCCACGCGTGATCGGGTCGCGCGTTTCAGGGTCCTGCGTCCTTCCACTTCAACCTTCACCTTCTCGCGGCGAGGAACAGAATCGAGTGTCCGTCGCGCATTACGCGTTGTGACGATGCCACAAGGTTGAAAGCTAACGAGAAGTCGATTTGTTATAAAAAAATTTTCGAACGAAGAGTGTGATTTTGGTTTTACGTGCAAACTGTGACATGTTCTGGACAAGAAGGCCCTGACTGTGGGAGAAATGGATGCTCGAAGAGTGAGTAATACTAGTAGTAAAAATCGTTAATTATTAATCGCCACTGTTCCATCAATAAATATAGTCGTGGAGTTGTTATAGCTATTACATTAAATTTCAAGTTTATATGCACAATTTGATTAATTAGTATTCATGTAATTATATCAACAACTATAGTTAAATTGTTAAATTTTGCCACTAAATTTGATGTCCATGTAACGAAAATGAAAAGAAACCAATATTTGCTTGTATTTATTATGAGTTAAAAATTAATAATAAACTAATTGACAAGTTCACAAATTAATTGTAGAAGCATAGTAAAAGTCTTCTAATAGTCTGATTATTTTTTTTACAGTAAAAATAAATATTCTGAAAATTTCAAGTCTAGTAACATTGCAATAATGTAGAACATTCGTTATATTTTAAGATATTTATAATATGAAATTATTTCATCGCGATAAAATATAGTTTTTGACCGAAAAAAATGCAAATTGCTCTCTTTACGTTTCTAGGCCACTTTAGAGAATTTAATGATGGATTATTTTAATACGTCATAAGTCGACTTTATGCGATATCGATAACGAGGCGAATCGTGTAGATTGCACGATTATAATATACCAAGATAATATATATACCGAGAGTCATGGGAGTCTTGACGACATAGAAAAGATGTGCGCCGCTTTCGAGTTTAATATATTGTATAGTATGTTGCATATGGATGAAATAAAAGCGTACTCTCTGCATTTATATTAAACATTGTTTCATCAGTAAAACTCTAGCATTCGCACATATACTTTGTACTATATACAAATGATTTTTACTAGATTAGGGACTTGTAATACTTCTAAGGGAATTTTGAAATACAAACAATTATGAAAAAATAAAGAATAATAAATTAAAATGATATTTTAAATATATAAGTAAAATATTTATCATCGGGAAAAATAATGCAGTAAATAGGACATTTTACGTAAAATTAAATATATAAATAAAATTCTTATATTTTATAAAAATAATCAAATTGTTATCTATGACATATACATGATATATTGAAAAGTGAATTTTATTTATGACAAATTATTGATATTAGTAATCACGAGTTCTTTCTAATCCTGAAATTGATTTCCAATTGATTCGATTTTCTAAATCGGCGGAAATCATCTCAGAGTCACGTTTTTTAATTAATCGGCAGAGAGCAGAGTAATAGTATGTTAATGCGCACGGCCGGCGTTTTGTGTCTCGAGAATCATGACTGATTTATGCACACCGCGAATCGTGCTCGTCCGAACGACGAAGACGTATGCCGCTTTCGAGACGGACGATCAAGCTGTTGTTTGGCACAGCTCCAGTCGAAGAGGGAAACTCTTTCGGACGACCTGAATCTGTCGCTTTCCGTTTGTCCGTTTCATCTAGTCTCGATTTCCAAAAAACGTGTACGGAAGCGCGAATATTTCGCAATTGCAATTTCTTATACATTTACTTAAGATAATTAATTTTTTAATTAATTTTTAAATTGACGGGAAGATACGAAGCATTATTTCTCGTCTGTTGAATCTGGAGTTAATGTTTTGTTAACAAAAATGTGTAGAAAAGCTAATAATAAAATTTGAGTTATGGGATAAAAATTGAAAGTGTTTTTGTGAATTAAAAATAAGAATAATTATTCGTTATTCTGAAATATTTATTACGCTTTAATGAAATTTAAATGTAAAGCTTAATTTAAAAGATATCTATATTTTTCTAACGAGTTTGTTAAGGAAAAATTGATTTCAATAATCTGTCAATTATGATATTGTAGTATTATTTATGAATCAAAGTCTAAAGTATTTTTCAATACTTTTACTGTCAGTCATATTGTTGATAACATTGCATGCAGACAGATTATCTGATAACAAATGAAATGTAGGAATGTGAGAAATTATTTAAAGAAGTAGGAAGAGAAGATTTTAGACTTACTTTCCATTTGTACGTGTTTTATCTATTCAACTTTAGTGAAGTGTAATTACTGTTCTTTACGAACATGCGATATCTAAGCAAATACAAGATTATTTTTGTATTGCAATTATGCATATTGTTTGCTTTAATACAATAACATTTTATTTGCACGAGATTTCGCAAGATTTCTCACTGTCTGTCAATATTAAGAAACGAAATAAATATACTGCGAGTCTTTATGAGTAATATCTATTATATTGTAATGATTACAATGGTATTGATTTAAACGAGCATAGTGGAGAAAGTTTAGCTAACAGAAATGTTTGCATTGACAAAATAAAGGTGAAGCCTTCTTCCGTTTGTTGGGCACATTTTTTCGTTACATTGCGCTATCAATAATTTTCTAATAACGCGTTTTCTTTTCTTTTTCTTTTTTTTTATAAAATTGACAATCCTAATTTTAATAATACTATTTTCAACTTTTATTGTTACATATAATCTTGTATTTTGCAAATATTTATGCAATAAAATTTTTTAAAACAAGAGAGTTAAGAGTGTAATTAAAATTAATATTTCTAACTTATTTTGCAAACAAGATGATAATTCGATGGGAATAATTTTTGTTCTTCCCCAATTAATAGTTATAATAAAAGAAGCAATTATTTCAATTACTTATCCTAACAAAATCATATGAAAGGCAAATACAAATGACATATTTTTTCGACATTCGTCGAACTGGAGCAGAGAGCTCGCGATTTAAATACGCGATGATAGTTAACTCTCTCTGTCTCGGCGCTCTTGTAATTATCTTCTGCGGCATTGAAGTACCGTTAGGGCTCGTCTCTTTCCAGCAAGATCTCCTGACTTTTCACTCGACTATTCCCACGGGATGGGGCTCGGAAGAATTTAGACTCTGTCTTGAAAAGTGACAGCATAATATAATTATCCTTTTAGCCTTGTTGCGTTGGACATTACAGTTTCAAAATTATTTTACAAGAAAAAAAGTGAATATATATACTCTCAAAAATATTTCGGAGGTACATAAATTTCCTTATATCCGCATTTGCTTCATACATTAATTTCGCCATACAATTATCGCGCTGTGTCAATAAAGAAAGCCTCGCGCGCACGTGGTCCAATACGTTGAATAACACCGAAAGTTTCGCCTTTGGATATATCGATCTCGTCGATGAACAATCTCGATTTCACAGGAGATACCTCACATGTGACTAGAGGATTTCTCATAAACGCGATGACGGTTTCATTTCGGACGACTTTATTTATCCCAGGCGATGGAGAGCGCGCAGCCTCATTATATCGGCACCGGTTCGTCTCGATTAGCGCTGACATTCATTTTCCGACAAACGCGCGTATGTCGCGTGGGACACGCACGTACACACACGCACTCGGATTACACGCGAGCGCGAGCGCACGTTACATCGTCTTCTCTCCCGCGTTGTAGGTCTCGACTCTCGTAATACCCACAGCCCACTTACCTACATTACTCGTCGTACGAGTGTGCGCGCGGCAGCTATACATCCACGACATCCTACGACGAGTTCATGAGCGCAGTGGCGTAATCAATTTTAATAATCGGTCGTTTTACTAATGAATTTCTGCGGCAGCGTGAGACGCTCTTAATGAGAAAGCGCGCGAATGACCTCCGCGCGATTGCATCTTCGTCAGATTTTTTTTCAAATCACGTTTGTTGAAACCTTCGTTATTCATTTCTGCGTCTTTAAGGGGATCCTAAACGCTGTCTCGTTAAAAAAATAAATAAATAAATAAATTTGTTAATCCTGAAAAAGCTTTATTATTCTATTCAACCAATAAAAAGAAAAGGGTGCGCAAAAATGATGTTTTTATGATGACGATTAAGTAGAACGGCGAATCGTTTGTATATTTATTAATATTATTTTTTGTTACCAAACGTAAAATTGATGTGTAAAAAATTGTAAATTTTCTTAATGAAAGAAGATGAGTGCATTTGAAGTCAATTGCGTTGACAGCAAGAAGTCTACTTATTTTAAGAGCGGAAGTTATGTCACTGAGATGCATCTTCGATTTTCAATGTCGTAAAGTTACGCTGCTGCATGCAAACGCATTCAGTTTTCTCATCGTGTCGAGACCCCGCAATGTTGCGATCGAAATCGGGTATAATGCAGCAGCCAAATGGAATCATAATCTTTCATCCGAACGTGAACGATCGGAGAAAAGAATCGATATACTGGCTGTAGCATGCTCGATACGATCCGTCAGTCGTAAATAGTGGATCGTGGAACCGGTGTGCCAAATTGATGCTCTCCTCCAGATGTTCTCTCGTTCTGATGATCGCCAGCCGAGAAATCGGATCTATTCGCTTCCTAGTAGATTTCGACCTGTTCTTCTATCCTTGATTCCAGCCTTGACTTAAGAGTGCGGAGTCACTATTATTCGCAATCCATGCTTGATTAATACCTTCCGGGTATTTGTAGCCTACTGACTTCTCTCATTAGCGTTTTCATCTTAGGAAATGGCTACATCATTTCACTTTGCTTACACTATTATGTTAAAAAAAAACCATAAAAACAGATTTACAAAAATTCATGGTAATTAATAAAAAATCGAATTAATTTATATGTTACACGTCTGAAGAAAATTTTCTATTTGTACGTACGAAATATCTCTTTTTCTCTTTCTTTGTAAGAGACGCGTAATTATTTTGACTCGCGTGTTACAATCCAGAAAGCACTTTACCTCGAACACCTGTGAGCCGTAAACGCAACCGTCTATGAGATGCGTCGCGAATAACATGTTGCAGGTAGAGAGAAGAAGACGCGCTCTCGTCGGAAGTAATTTGCATAATGCACGTGCCTGTATATGTTCGCGAGGCCGTAATGCGTTATTATTAGAGGCGAGTCCGTGCATACGCCTCCTTATTTCGATGTACAGGCACGCGTGTGTCGCCATTTTTTTCCATTTCTTCACTTTCCTACGCGGCTTCCGGTTCGCTCGGGACAAACACGGTCACCCGCGACTACTCTCGTTCTCTCTCACGAGAACGCGGTGAAGGGCTCGGGAAGGAATTAGCACGTGGAGCACTCGCATTCAATTCTACGTGAGAGAATCTCAGCATCTAGCAGGTGGGTGTTGCGAATCGCGACAGATTCTCGGTCTTTCTTTGAAATTCATTCGTTTTCCTCGAGACTTTCCGCAATAAAGATTTCCTTGTACCAGTTCTCCACATTTCTACCTCTTTTTCAGAGAGAGAATAATTTGCATATCGAATTTCGTCGTATTATTATTTTTATACTATTTCTATGTTAAATTATATTCTTTATTTTATTTTATTAGAATCATTATATAACATTCTTTAATTTTGTTATTATATTGTATCTCAATATACCACTCAAAAGCAGTTTGTGATAGACTTTAAAGATTGAATTCATAATAAATATTATAGGCAGTAGGGGTGTAATATTTGGAAATAAATTCATTATACGAAAGATTGAGGAATTAATTATAAAATCGATTAAAAAGGTACATTGGAAATGTCTTGTCTGCAATTATCGATGTAATTATCAGATAATGATATTATGTTAATATAACTAAAGAAAAGAGAAATGGATGGAAGAAACTTTTCCAGCAGAAGCAATCTATGGAATTGAATCCGTGGCACAGAATCCCGACCTTACATCGCATTCTATATGCCTTATGACCTCTCATCGGTAATGACTTAGAAAGAACTCTTCGAAAGAACGATGATTGCGGGTTCTATCTCGGTGAAATAGGTCGAAAGAGCCTCGGAATCTCGAACGACATTTACGCGTGCTTTTCACTCACTTAGAAAGCCAATTTTGAAATTAGTGGTAGAGCGTCGGGCGAAATCTAATAACGTTTAGTTTAATAACGCTAAACAAGTGTGAAAACTAAGAATTACCTGGGGTATGCATTTGTAGCAGTCGTTGGAAACCACTTCCGAACCCAAGTGCCACCAAATTGTTGGCTGTTTCGCGTAATGATATTTGCGGTACAGGGATATATTGTCCGTATCTTGTGTAAATTTTGTGCGTGATTTACTAACGTAAAACGGGGTAATCAACTGCATCCAGGACTAAAGAGAGGGAAAACCAAGTCCAACGAGGACTCCATTCTAAAATAACGAGGGAGAAGGCGTCTAGTTTCGCGCACGGCATACATAATTCTCGGTAGAATGATTCCCATGATGCGACCTAGTTTGTTCTACCGCACGATTATTTCCACCGTCGTGTCATTGATTGTTGCGGAAAGTGTACATAATAATATTATACATACGAGCTTTCATCGGTTCAATGATACCAGGAATATCGACAAGGAGAAAAGCAACCAACAATTTGAACAACCAAACGATCTTGTCATTTTTATTCTCCTGTCGCTTTTATTGTTTAGAGATAATTGTATAGAGAGAATGTCGACCACTAATATTTCTTATGCCGTGGGGAATAATTTGTAGACGTTTTTCTTCTTCTCTGCACAATAATTTTCTTTAAATGAAATTACTATTCTTTTATAAATCCTCGTTGTAAAGCAATAATTTGCTATTTCAGGCCTTGCCATTCTTCCTGCTAGTGATCTGCGCGATCAGCGCGGCCTCTATCATCAGGAATGGCCGGGGTGACTCTAACAACATTCGACGCATTCGCAGAATCAATTTGAGCGAATACCTTGTTCCACCACCACCGCCGAGGTTTCATTCACCGAATAGAATCCCAAGATTGGTTAACCTTCATTCGGTTGAGGCGCCAGGATACTTTGCGCAGCTGATGAATTGGTTGAATCCCTTTGCTTCCGGTTCTCCGTCCGACTCATCAAAAGTGCCACCTTTGTCACCACCGCCACCACAAACACCCTTGCATGCCGAAACTGCGTATCCTCCACCGAATTTTATTCCACCTCCACCTCCAGCTTCAGGGATCTATGGGGATCCATCTCCTGCGACTTATGATAAACCACCTCCTCCTTTACCCTCCCTCAACAATCACCAGGGATATCCCCCTTCGGATAAAGTCAAGAGCTGCAATCCTTGCAACAAAGTTCCCTGGATACCGATGCAGCATGGTGAATTTTCTCATTCGGGAGATGCTTCCTACGCACAGCCGCCACAACCGCTGCCTCAATTACCATCATCAAATGGCGAATATCTGCCACCCAGAAATCGTGAAATACCTTACGACGCTCATCATGCCGCGTCGCAGGAAGTTAGAGCTCCAGATTATTCTTTCGCGTCACCCATCGGTGGACAAGACGGGTCTTTCATCAACCCGCTGCCAAATCCACAACTGTATCCTGGAGCAATGCCGCCGCTCTTCAAGGCGGAAATATTCAATAATCCTGCTGTACAAACCGTTACGGATAATAATTCGGAGTTATCGCCATATCTCAACGCGCCGCCACCACCATCATCTATTTCCGGAGATGTTGCATCCACAAACGACTCTTTTCCGGATACAGCGCAGCTCAGTTTTAACAATGGAGCATCCGTTCATCCAGATCTTTCGAGTTTCCCCGATCGAGAAGTTTATCACGAATTAAGATATACCAATCCTGACGCGAGCAACAGAGAGTTCGAACACTTTAATGCTCAGAATTATAATGTTGACTTATCTCCTAGCGGCACTCAGGTGTCTCAAGGTCATTCAAATCTTGTAGCAGATAAGGAGAGATTTGATAATACCGCGACACAAAGTTCCATAAGTCATCAAACGTTTGGCAATTCTGGCGATGTGCTGATTGATCCAAATCCTCCTAGTAGTTACGGAATTTCCGGTCGCGATCAAATACCGGGCAATCTCGAGCATGGATACAACGATTTGTCCTCCAGCGCCAACGTTGCTGAAGACTCTCACGCACCTTTGCGCGCTACAGGATCTTCCGTGAAGATTGAAGATTCAATACATTTTGAGGAGTCACTGTTGCTAGATTTCACGCACAAGGGTGAAAGTCGGACGGACTCGTCCTCGTTACCGCCGACCTCTAACGCGTTCACGGATTATACAAACACCGAGACTACCGGGACGACTTTGGCACCTGACGATGAGATTTTTGGAACACGTCACGCAGCTACGACAACAGAATCTTACTTTTCCACGGATCGCTTCCGGCAGACAGTCCATTTTGTGACACCTTCGGAGGAGTCGAAGATCAACGATAGCGTTGCACAAGGCTCGAATGGAAATATTTATGATCATAAGGCTCTTCGGGGACAAGACGTTTCCTATATTCCGCCATCCGATCAGGTTGGATATTTATGGTCGAGTGTCGCATCGACGACTTCAAGGAGTACAGAGGACGGAGGACTTTGGGACACTCTGAACTCTGCATTGAGTCCTTACGACGACGTAGAGGAGGAAACATTGAACGAAAGTGTTAGTATTAGATCGAAAGAGGAGAATACATCTACAAAACAGCAAGGCGCAAAGAGGAATAAAAAGGTGATGCGATTGAATAAAAGAATACATCTTCCAAAATTGTGTGTTGATAAGTATTATAATTAATTTTTTGCGATTATAAATTCAGGTACAGCTCATTATTCCCTACACGTCACAGTACACACCACTTCCGTTCCATTCATCACACGAACGAGAGCACGAGCGAAAGACTTTGCATGTCGCGACTGAATCCAATCACGACAAATATTTGGCCGAAGAATCAAGGAACAGAATTAAAGTCACCAGTCCTCCGAATTCTTCGTATATTTGGCCGACTACTTCGGTATTATCGGAAGATATTACTAGGAAAGTCGGTACTAAAGTCAACAACTCTATAGACGTACATAAATTGCAAAAGAATATTGATAATTGGACGATACAGGTACTTTATACTATTCTAATAAATGTATTTTTGTAAATGGATAAGATAAAATAATAGATTTCAAATTTTTCATCCTGCAGGGTAAGGATAAATCTGTCAGATGTATCTATAATAAATGATGAATTCTAATATAAAAAGATATTAGTTATAAACATTAGTAAAGCATATATTTTTATTTTATTTTTTTGTAATGCATCAAACGTTATGATAAGAAGGTGTATAACCTGTTACAATTTTTTTAAGCATCAATTTTCAATAAATAGAACAATACTATTTCAATTTGATTCTTTATAAATATTATATAAGATAAAAATATATCGTGTGTGCATAACAATTTTTAAATTCTTCTTAAATCCAACATTAATACTGGCAGATTAAATTCTAGATTGCAGAAATAATTTTAATGATAAACTTTTGACAATGTAAAGTCTATAATTAATGTAAAAAAATTATAATAATAGATTGTAGTATACAACAAACACGATAACGTGTTCTTATTTGTGTTCAATTTAGGAATATTCAAGGGGTACAACTGTTAGTACAATATCGCCCAGTTCGGCAAATCCGTATCTTTTCCCTTCAAAGCAGATTCCTAGTGAGTACTTGACGACCACCGAACCTGTTAATCATGGAATCGGTCCTTACGATGATAACGTTAAAACCTTTACTCTGGCCGGATTCACTTTCAATGATCTAGACTACAAAGGTTCGGCTAGCAACCGTGTAGAAGGACCGCGAGTACAAGTAATTAATTCAAATTTTAAGGAAACATTAATATAAAGAAATAATCTACACTCCATTCCTCTCAGCCAATAGAGCCACACGCGATGTTATTGCGACAATTAAGAAAGAAAGAAAATTTGGAAATTAAGGAATTTGTATCCTATGGTTGGGATCTCAGAAATTTCTCTTTGTTCCTTCTCCTAACTTCCCCTGTAAAGAAATAGGCGAGAAAAATATTGGTCCTATTGGCTGAAAGAAATGGAGTGTAGATCGTGTTTTTAAAAATTGAGGAGCTGACTTAATATTCTTATTATTGTTTCGATAAAGAAATAATGTCTAATTTTTCTTCGACGTCTTCATTTTAAGGTGATGCAGGTCGGAAATGCAAAGTCGACCGAGAGTCCTACTGACTCTTCCACCGCATCCACAAAAGACGACGTTACATGGCAGGGCTTCTCCGTGGATGTTTCTTCGGCGAACAAGGAACGCGTCTACGTGGTGACGCCTCAGCCTATTACAACCACTACTAAGTCGAATTCTGCCGACAGGAAGAAAGAAAAAGCAGCGAAAGAAGCGGACAGAAACTCTAAAGCCTTGGCGACAGACACGAAGAAAACCAAGAAGAAATCCAATTCGTTCGAATCGATCGAGAAAGCCTATCAAGTGTTACCTCAGGCTGTGAACAATTTGGCTGTGGCTTCTACAGGTCCAGATAGCGTTCCCTTGTGGGGTATCATGGAGCACGAGGAGTTCGCGTCGCTTGACGAGAGTGAACACGAGAGTGAAGAAGACAGTGAGTCCCTTGAAGTTCCTGTGCTGTATACTGGACATTCAAAGGTATGTTTACGATTGTATTATTTTTTGTACATGCAACTTATAATTATATCCTTTATCTCAATTATTTTATATCTGCCTGTTTTAATTTATTTTTTGTTTTATTAAGTTTTGCTTCTTAATGTTTAATATGCTACAAATTTCTTTGCTTCTAATATTTCTTTTAAAATAAAATAAAGCAGCGTTTTTAAATAATTAATCAATTATCGTTCTAATTTATTTTGTTAATATTTATATTTAAGCCAATTGAATTTTGTCGATAATAATATGAAGTAAATATTTTTTATTTAATTTTATATTATAATCTATAATTATTCTAAGTTATAAAATATTTTAGAAGTACACTTTTTTTAATTTTTTATATCTTTTTACATATTTTTTTATCAAAGAAATGTGAAGAAATACTTTTATTTAGTGTGATTGATAAAACTTTTCAGATAATATTTAATTTTTTCGTTTTATAGGTATCACGTGCCAGGCGATGACGCATTAATCGTGAAAAATGCTCAAAAGGATTATTTGTGCATGTGCAGACAATATTGATGATATGTTTCAGTGAGCGATGAGTGAGTGTGAACAGTTATGTTCAAACGGAGTTCTTTCACTATATTTCGACGAACATTTTAACTTAATAATATTTAATGCAAACCGGTGAATCCTCTCTCTATTTCTATTTTGATTCTACGTATGTGCGTAAGTGATTATTGTGGCCAGTGTACTAGATAAATGTATTTTGTAATCCGAGCATGTGTATCTTTATGAGTTTTGCTATATGATTGTAATTCAATAAGTCTAAAAACACAAGCAGAGAGACTAGGAGAAACTATGACAGCGCGGCATATATTTGCATTAAGTCGTCATCACGATTGTTGTCCGCTATTAAAGTGGTTGGAAACCAAATATTTTAAATACAGAGAGAATGCCAATTTTTATACATAATTTGTAAATAAGAGCTACATAGTTTTAATAATTTTCATTTTGAAAATTCTCTTTTTTACAAGAGAACTATACTGTTTTTGGCGGTTTAATCGTATTTACGTTATTTGGATTAACATAAAAAATAAGGAATATGTCATAATCTTTTTTATATTAAATTTTTGTATTTAGAGATTTGTTTTTTAATTATTTTAAAACGTGTTTTCTCGCGCGAAATCTTCCACAAAAAGGTTAAAAAGATTATCATTTTTCATGATCTTCCTGGCTTTAATATTACATGTCTTCGTAACAAAATCTAATTCAAATCCCTTGAAAGTAAAGTCTGCTAAAAATTAATCGATAAATAATTTTGTCACTTATTTGATTTTTTTAAATTTATTTAAAAATTCTTACTTTAATTGTTTCAATTACTTTTATTATTTAAAAAAGAAAACATTGATACCTCAATATTTCTGTAGAAAGAGGAAATAGATTTTAAATTAGTCAAAGAATATATCAGTTAAGCACAAATATAGTAGCAAGATATTTTGTATATATTGATCAAACAGGTCAGTCTAATATAAACTGGGTTTTAAGCAAACACGGTTTCGTTTCCTGAAGTGCTTTCATCTATTCTGGAAACTAAATCAAGGTGAGTTTAAGGTCGATCTTCTCAGAGTCTATCGTGAATATTAATAACTTTTCAATGCAAAATTTTTCACATTCATACTTTATTTAAAATAAACGATGTTTCGTCGCGATATAAAAACAATAAATAATAGAAAATAAGAGAATAATAAATGTTGATTTATCTGATATATTGGTATATAAAAAATTAGTACATTTTTATTTTTATAACAAATTAAGATAATACTTTTAATTTTTGCAAATTATATCGAAGTGATATGTGCTAAATATTATTTAAAATTTTTCTGCACAATATAATAAATGCGAAATATAATATTCTTGCGGTAACGTGTTATACTAAACCGCGTACTTATGTGTATAAATTACTAAAACAGCGCAAACGTTCTCATTTTGATTTTAGAAAATAGCAGGCGCGGTTCTTTGGAAATACAGTCGCGTTTACATGATTTGAATTTGTGTTTTATGCACTTGCCAACAACGTTCGATCATCACTTTCGCTGATTTCGTAAAGCTGGACTTCCGCCAAAACGTGTCACGAGCATATTGCTGCATCTAAATATACGTTCGCAGGTACGTGATATGCATGTATGCATATCACGCAAGTGAGTCTCTTCCGATTCTATACGGTAAAAGAGGATTGTATGTCGCGAATTTCGCTCGTTGTTTGTTATTCGTAGTTTGAGTAAAATCGTATGAAAGGAAAATAATGTAATACTTGAATATTATTATAATGTTACTATATATATGTTCGACAGAAAAGATTGTACATATTTTTTACACTCAGAAAAAATAATCTTGCTGTAAGAGAGAAATAAAAGTCTTTCTGTACTTTACTTTTTTTCTCAAGTCGTCGCACGTTATGAGAAAATTAAGTGATATCGCGCGTAAATCATAACTCTTACATGTAATAAAATAGATGTTACATTTAACGAGTAGAGACTTGACAGAAAAGAAAAGAGGAATCTCCGACATTGTTGAATAGATTGGCCGGCTTGATGCAACATTATCTACATTTCATTGACCTTCGAACTTCCTTTTCAGATCTCTTCAGGAAGATCACACATCGTGAGACGTGAGAATTCCCGCTAGAAAATAATGGGAAAGATGTTCCATTGTCTACTACAGTTGTCTGTCTTTAAAGACTCTAGTCATCTCGAGAGGTGTTAGTGCTCTAATTGGATTCATTTCTAAATGATGTCGAACAAGGACACGACCTTAATTGCGAAGTTTAATATGTCGTTCGAGAAACGGGTAAGAATTTTTCATAAAAATATATTTTATTATAATTACATATTTTTATTAATTTTTTACCGAGTTTGAAATTTATTTTACAACGTAGATGCTGTTGAAAAAATAATTAATTTACAAAAAGAGAATTATTTGTACGTAATCCTATATTAACACGTTTCAAGCAATTTTGACTTCCGCCGTGTAGACTTTCTTCGTACAAGTAACATCTCTATTGTCCAAATAAATATCGTAGCAGCAGTCACCGAATTCATCAATATAATACAAATTGTATAATTCCCTGTATTATCTCGTATTAAACCTACAAATCAATTTTTTATTTAAATTTAAAATCTATATAAATTTTTTCTTTCTTTTTTTTCTTTGGGCATATATATTTTATATAAATATATATATATATTTTTTTTAATATATATATTTATTACTTAAGAAATTTGATAGTCTCATTATTAAATTCTCAATAATATTATTATATATATATATATATATATATATTTAAAATATATATATATATATATATATATATATATATATATTTATATAAAATATATATGTATAAAAAATAATATTATTAAAAATTTAATAATGAGACTATCAAATTTCTTAAGTTAAATTTTATACTATTGTATTTATACTATTGTAGTACCTAGCATAGGACCAGCGCAAATAAGCATCAGTCCGTTGGTCAACATTTGCATCCCCGAAGCGCCGGGTAACTTTTGAATGGGAACATAACTGGGTACCACTAAAGTCATATACACCGAGCGAATTCCTTTTGCCATTCCCAAACCGATTGCAACGATTACTACCGAAGCAAAGCTATTTATAAAGATGAGTGCTGTACCAAAAATAAGTAGAGATCAATTTTATGCTGTTATGTATCGTCTAATTTTTATTTTTCAATTTTATTATTTTTTTTAATCAAAACTCGATAGAAAATAATCAATATACGTTACCCATTCTGCTAATTATCAAAAGAAATAAGCTAAGCATATACATCTTTCTAGGTGTCTGACGTAGCCATTCACCCAGGAACGATGATATGCTTCTGCCAAAGAGATCGACTATTGCGATGATGCTCAATATGTTGGCAATTTGTGCCGTTGTCATTCCCATATCGGCGAGAATGAATGGCGTCAACATGGAAAAGTTTACCTCCGCGAAGATTGCCATCGACATCCCGAACATAATGTTTACGTAAATAGGATCGCGCAGAAGATCAAAATCGTAAAGATTAATCAGTCGATGCAAAATTCGGCAGATGGCGGATTCATCCTTGTGACTGCAATGCAATTACTACATAATTTGTTATATTTTATAATAAAATATTTTATTAAATTTCTTGTGGTTATAAAGTTACAATTATATATATTGTATATATAAGAATAGTAATTTTTATTTATATGATATTGATCTCCACTGTATAAATTAAAATTCTTTGAGGTTTTTTATTATTATCTTAAGCATAAGTTTATTGTTTTATATATCTTTTTTGAGGGAACCAGTTTGATAAAATTTCATATACTTTAAGAAGTTATAAGCTTTACTAAAATAATATTATACATTATTTAATATTATATTTTCATAAATATTCATGCATATGTATATTAATGAAAACCGTATATTTTTATACTTACTCATCTTCGTAATTTGCTTCAATTGTCGAGCTATCAGTCTCTTTTTCTAATAGTGAATTATTTTCCATAACAGTCTGATTTACACCATTATTTTTATTTACTCCATTATCAATAAAAGTCAATTTTTCGTTATTGGTGCAGATTCATCAAAAATCTTTATACTACTACCGAGATTTATACTTTCCACACTTTTTGCTATAAAAACATATATAAAATAATGCTAAAATACAAAGTTCATTTTCTTCGAATTGCGGATAATCATGATAACATTTCGTATATTACGCTTAATTGAAGTCTATACATATAATACACTCTATTAATAACTTTGTAATATCTAGTTAAAGATATGAATTTGTTATTTCGCTATCTACATATAATCTTTCCAGAAACCACAAAAATTTTAATGAATATAATAATCAATATATTTACCTGAATTTTGCAATGTGTATTTTGAATACTTGCGATTACCATTTAAATTTGTCATTGACGGTCCTTTCATTATTTTATTATTTGACGTTTCGGTGTCATAATTTGCATCATACACTGAAAGAAATGTGATACCTTTTTTATTAAAAAAAAAAATTTTTTAGACACAGAATTTAATTCTGTACAATTTTTAAATAAATTAATAATTCATTAAAAAATTTAAATTATCGGATTACATACTTGTTCTATCTACAGAAACTTGTCGAGATAAGTTATCAAATCCATAAATGCTTCCAACTTCGACATCGTGATCGATACTACTCATTTTTCTTTTTCTTTGATAATTGTTCAATGTCAGTCTCGAAGAATGTATATTGGTTTCATCTTCCGCGTTATAAGTCGATGTATCTGTTAATCACAAATTATTATACACAAGAGAGAATTTCGAGTATTGAAATATTTTTAATTAGCAAGTAGATACCTCCTTCGTTATTCTTCAAAATTTTAGGACTTTCGGCAACTTTTGTCTCTAAGCAAAGAGGTGCATTTTTCATATGCCATTTAACTGGCTGTAGCAGCAGGCCGCCTATTATCGAATGAAGACTGTAAGCGGCAAGTAGCAAGATGGTTGCCTGTTTAATATTACATTTTTTAAACTACATATACATATTTTTAATATGTGATTTATAATAAACGTTGTCACATTTTCGTAATTATTATAATTTGTACGATAAATCACGATTGAGAATTAGAAAAATAGATCATTAAATAATTTGTGTTAGATTTTATATTACAAAGATCGATAAAAAAATGTCTGCCTTATGCTTAGAATAATATTAACATTAACTATAGATGATAAAACTAAGGAGAAAATAAACAGTCCATGCCGACCCGCATCGATAAACAATTGCTGTTGTATTTATGATCGGTATAATTCAACGCAAGAAGGATCAGATCAGATGCCTTATCGAAACGCAAATATAAATACATATATCTTTTCCTGCTCGGCAGAAAGTGTGTTAACTTATCAATTCTGATTCTCCTATTCTCGGCATAATCAACTTATATATCAAGAAAATATTAAGAAAGGATATTTGGATTTGTTAAATATTCTTTTAGCGAGACATAATATTTGACATACCTGTATACCGTAGAATGTCAGTAAGAAGGATGCTATTTGAGGCATAAGAATCGGACCTATCCCGATGATGGTTATCGTCAAGCCCATAGCTCGATTTCGTCTTGTAGTGAAGTAAGAATTAACCGCCAAAGAAATCCAGACATCGACATACCCAAACCAATAGCTATGTAAAAGAGTATAAACCAGATCGAATTAATTCATTCTAAGCACGGATACACGCGCGTATGTATCCGAAAAACTTGAAAAATATTTGATGTCTGAATTAAAATAAAAAAATTAGTTTTAATAATTATTTACACACATTCGAATTGTTTGCGATATAACATAAAAATAATTTTTTTACAATTATTTATTATTATACAGAAGCGATTTATAGAAGTATTTTATATATATGCATAATATGTATATATAGTATATACCATATATATTATATATATATATATAATATATTTTAATTACGAGCGCAAAGCAAAGTTATATTATTCTTTGATATAATAAATCTTAAAATTGCAATTCATGCATAAAATATATTAATTAATTATGCAATGTATAAAAATTTAATGTTTAAATCTTTAACAAAAAATTATATTTTCTGTTAAGGATTAAAATATTGAATTTTTATGCATTGCATAATTATTAATATATTTTTATGCATGCATTGTAATAATAATTTTTATGCATGCGTTGCAATTTTTGGGATTTTATTATCAAAGAATAATATAATTTCGCTTTGCACGCGTATAATTATATTCAGTTAGATTAAACAAAATAAAAAGTAAAAATATATACATAAAACACATTTATTATTATAATAATGTGCTCATCGAAAGACTTAATTTGTTTTACTTACATGTTAATATTCCATAGCAAATAATAATGAGAGCAAAAGAGTTGGCAAATGCTGTTAACATTATTCCAATTGTGAAAAGTATACTTCCAGTTATCGCTACTTTCTTGTATCCAAAAGTCTTTAAAAGAGCTCCATTAATCATGCCGAACAGCATACCAAATGCCAAATTTACATTGATTATAATTGACGTATCTGTCGCATTTAGCTTAAGTTTAGCAAAAGAGTCTTTGAATATCAATCCGAATGCTTGTATGATCGGAATGGTTGATATCTATAAAGTTTTTATTTGATTTTATTTAATCTTTGTTTCGATTCTGGGAGAAGAGCTAATTTGAGTTTATGTTATAGTTTTTTTGTTACACTTATATTATATTTTTAATGTATTATAAAATGTGCATAACTTACGCCATTTAATGCACTCCCCAGGACAATGATCCATCCCCATCCTCCATTTGGTGGTACTTTTATAGACATTTTATTTATATTTAAATTTATATTTAAATATAAAATACAGTGCGGCAAATTTAATATAATATTATATTTAATATAATATTAATCATCCAAAGAATAATAGAAGAACATGCAGAGAACACTAAAAATTTATACAAGTTTATTAATATTTCGATCTAACTGGCCAGTACAAATTATTACGACCATTATATACGTTTTGACTCTCAGGTACGGGTCCTTATCAAGTAATAAGTAACTGTACAATAAAAACATACATTGATGAAGATGCGAAACCGTATTTTACAAAATTATTACAAAGAAATTTAAGAATAAAATATAATTTACCCTTCAAGATGCTGATTCGATAGCAATGATATTACTAATGTTAAACTAAAGATAAGTAAATTATTTTAAAATATCATAAGTCAAATTTACAAAACAAGATTATAAAAATGCTCGAAAATAAAATGAAATAAATAAACAATCATATACTGTGGATTGACTTATCATAATTGGGTTTTAATTTTCTGTGTCTTTTTACAAATTAATATATTATTGTTATATTTTTTAATAAAAAACATCTCAGCTAATTCTCTCTTCCTTTTATGTTTTTCATAATGTAAAATCTTAGGTTCCATCCAATTAAAATCATGGTCATATGTTATTCGATGTTTGCTGATTACGTTAAATTGCTGAGATGTTGTTTAATATTTTTGCAATGTTCCTTTACGTGTGTAGCTAATTGTCTTTCTTCATCTTCATCAATGTATGTTTTTTATTGTGCAGTTACACTTGATAAGGACCCATACCTGAGGGTCAAAACGTAGTGTTTGTGATAATTTGTACTGGCCAGTTAGGTCGAAATATTAATAAACTTGTATGGTTTTACTCATTATTGGCGACTTCATTTATCGGTAACTAAAAATTTATTTGATTAAATAAATATATTTAATATTTTTCTTAGATAATATTTAATATCTTATAGTTAATATTTATTAACATTATATATTTAATATTTAATAGTCATTAGTTGTTGTAAGAGTTTTTATTTAATAATTGTTTACAGTATATTAAAAATACATTATAACATCATTTATTGCAATGAATTAATTAATCATGTTATGATGGTACCGATTTTATATCATGATCGTGACTTGCGATTTTGCAGGCTTAGTTGCTTGTCAATCGATTTTATCTACGTTGGTCGATACTATGATTGTTATTTGACGTTTATTTGAGAATGTGCCATTCGAATGTGACATGAGAAACGTCAGAATCGATCTTTTTTTATTCACGATAAGTAAATAAACTTTTTACATACCACTCACTAATATATATAATATTATTCGCACTGAAAATTTACAATTAAATATATAATATCTACAATTTCAATATTTATAACACAGGAAAGTTTGCAATACTGAATGTTATGCAATTTCTTATAAATTGTGTTAAGATCTTTCCCTCTTTATAAATTATAAATCGCACTGATTTTAATTTTCACATCTGTTCAACACTGATACACAAAATAATGTAATAAGCTAAGCTACATAAATATCACAATATATATTTTCCTAGTCCGATTACATGTTGTATCTTGCGTTATGATAAATGTGTACTGACGGTAACGCATATTTTTGCTAATGATAAAAGAGATTCCAAAGAGTAATCTAATCGCAATCTATGACCATTCAATTATCAAAGTACAGAAATATCTTTCATCAGATAAATCATTTGGAAATGTCAATGTCACACATACATACATAAGATCTAATATCACATCAGTGCAAAGCAAATATAATTAATAGAAGTATAATGTATATTTATTATTTATATTATTCTATTACTTTATGAATTAGTAATTGTAAAAATATTCTAGCGAAACTTCTACAAGCAAGACATGCCTTAACATAAAATAAAACAATTTTATATACTTTTTATTACATATTTTTTTATTATTACGTACAATTAAATTATGATTAAAGATTATACAATATATTTTATTAGTGTATATTTAAATATAAAAATACATAATTGATAAAAAATTCTTTAACTTTAAATGTATGTAACAATAATAATGATAATGAAGATTTCACATTGTTCTATCGCTTTTGTAAGAAAAGTGAAACAGAAGATAAAGATTAAAGTAAAAAAAATTGGATAATATGCAATTGAGCGTGCTATTTATGTATTCGAAAAGCAAATATGTTTATGCGTGCATATACATATCCATATTGTAATGCTTATAATTGCATAAGTGAACCTTGATGTGTGTGTGTTGTCGAGTTGTTATTCATTAATAAGATTAATCAGAGCATACGTAGAGATTTATATGTAACCGTTTCATCTTATATTAAAGAATTGTGTGAATTATTATTATTTAGATCGGAACTGTCTTTGGTCATCGAATATATCTATCGAATATATCTTGCTTATATGCAATATATTGTATGTGTTAAAAATAAAAATAATCGATATTTTTATAAAATCATTGATGATTGCACGCAAAAGGAACCGATTACATTTTGAACCATTTAACAATAAAATTTGTAATTCCATACAATTGTTAGAAATTTCGTAGAATCATGAAATTAAATACTTTCACGTTTTAACGTATACATTATTAAATTATATCACATACAATACTTTATACGTAAACTTATAAATTTTTTATATTATTTTTATACACAATTTTCAGTCAGTCGAAAATACTAAGCTATTATAAAATTAATTTTAATTAAACATTTTGATGAGAATTTTCTTGTTCTTCTAGATTTTGTTGATTCAATCTTAAAATATTCTTACCAGGAATCCAAAGTCCACTTATAAACCACAGAAAGACACAGGACAAGCTTAGAAGAGATGTGAAATATAGCGCACCAACATAACTGTTCGTTAAATCGTGCACTAAACCTAAAAATATTTAATTGCAATTAAAATAGAATACTAATTTGACATTGTTCTGTTTTATTATTAAAATTAAAATTAAAATTAAAATGCTCGAAAAAATTGCACATTTAGAATCTCTCTTTACCGATAATGGTCCCACGCTAATAGACAGGATGCCATTACAGACCATCTGAATTCCGGATGCGGATGGCAATTTCTCTAATGGCACATAATCGGGAATAATTAGAGCTTGAAAGACAGCTTTGGTTCCCTTTGATAATCCGACAATTAGAGATACTCCAATTACGGTGACGTAAGAATTACCCCATGTTGATAGAACTGTTAAGAAACTAACATGAGCATTGATTTTACAAAAAATGTACATAAAACGCTGATTGTGAGAATGAGAATATTAATGCGCGTATTGATTCAGATAGACATATAATAATTTAATCATTAAGATTATAATGTATAAGTAGATGAATCATATATAGTATATATGTATATGTAATGGTACTATATAAGAAATACTATAATATATAAAGGATGTCAAACAATTTGATTTTCACTGAAAACCGTCGTTTGTATAATATTAATATTTACTAATGATAATATTTCGTCGATTAATAATAATAATAATATATTAATATCGTTTAATAATATTAATATTAATAATTCATAAAAATATTGTAATGAACGATTCGCGCGGATCGTATCAATTATTATATTATGTCCAGCTATCAACCCACCCCAAGGATCGCGGTCTCATCGGGATTCGTGAAGAGATTCCTCGTGTTCGTATATTTTATCTACGTACTAGTCCTTCCTAGGATCGATCCCAGCAGGGATATCACGTAAAGGTTCCTGCACGTCCAGCCAACTTTTTGCGCCATTAGTGGCACACAGAGTCGTCCTGCGATATCTGCAGCAGCCTGGATCGACATCACCGTAGCTATCGAGGTTCTGTCAAGACTCGCCAATTCGGCCAGGACGAAAGGTATCATTGCGTTGAAATTCGTTTCCGCCACCAACGAGATACTCATACCTATTTTTTAAGTGTGTGTAATACATATGTAGCTTAAAACTTTCTAATTTTGCTCTAATGTAAAACGCTTGTGAATTCTACCTAATACTATGGCTACATAACAATTGTCATGCAGAAGATCGAGATCCAAATTTGTGGCGATTTTTTTCAGAAACGAAGTTTTTCTATTTTCATTCTCTTTTATTTTGCTGTTCTCCAGATGATGATTCGATCGTCTTTCCTTTCCGGTATCTTCCTCATCCGATCGACACTCTAAGTTTGCCTCATTCTCACTACAGGAAGTCTCTGTTTTTCTCAAGCTCTTTTCTTCCTTCAATATATCAGTAGTTTTATCTACCAGACTAATCTGTTAAAAATGGGAGAAGTCTTCCAAATATGCTCTATTTTTTTATATTGTTGATGTGATATACAATTTGATGACTGAAATATATAAAAAAATAGAATGGAGAAAATCTCAATATAAAATTATGCTTCTTCTCGTATACTTTCAACCCACCTCTTTCTCCTTTTCAAACGGTCTTAATAACGATGCACCGATGAAAGAGTGTGCGGCAATTCCAGCAAGAATCAAGAGAGTGCCGGTCGTGGCATAATTCTCGAGAAGTACATCTATCAAGAGAGGCATCAAGATTGGACCCAAACCGGTCATTGTAATCGAGAAACTCATAGCTACATTGCGCTTCTTGCGGAAATATGTGTTTAGAGCTAAGGTTGTCGCTGGAAAAATGATTCCTTGTCCGATACCTGTCAAAGAATATATATTAAATATATATAATAAATACTATGCTTAATAATTAATACTATTATTTAGTTGACCGTATAATAATCAATTATATTATTATTCCCTAGAGTTCAGATGAGGATTGTGTTGTCGTTTTTATTAGAGCTCTGAACATTTAGGAGAGAAAGAGAGAAAGAGTGGAAATTTCTGTGGCATTTAGTACAAGCCATCACGCACATTATTTGATCTAGTAATTATTTTGTAACACAAAGTTACTTACCGATAATAACGCAGTAAGTGATAATAAGAGTAGGAAGAGACACCGCGAAAGCGGTAGCGCAGATTCCAAGGACAACCGTTAGGCCGCCAAAATATGCGACTTGACGAAAGGCGAATCTCTTCATCATCGGACCGCTTATCAGGCCTAGACTACACGTTATTGTTCCATTGAGATGAAGAATTAGGCTTGTTTGCGTCGCGGCGATACCGAGAATCATGAAACGCTCCGCGAAGATAAGACCGAAACATTGTTGCATTGGCAGCACGGCTAACTGATAAAAGCAATTGCAATCAGTTTTTTAAAAATTATTGTCAACATTTTATAATGTTCAACATAAGATACTGTATTTACCATAAGTACTGCAAATATCGATAAATTACTATTATCTTATAATCGAATTTGAAATAAATCTTCTTAACTATATTATAATTTTTGAAATATACATATATATATATTAAATAAATTTTTAGATGCAATTTTTCGTTAGAAAAGTAAGAAAGGGAATAAAATTTAAATTTTGACAAAATTATTTTTAATCAAAATAAAAATCACAGAGAGGCTAAAATGTTATGTGTTAATAAGGAAGTAATCGGGCTTTGAATTATAGCAATCATAAAAGAAAAATGAGCTTACATTGATAACAGTCACGCCGACAACGATCGCCCATGCCCAGCCTCGATCCGTTTGGCCACGTGCCATCCTATCAATTTTATCGATCGTTCTTTTCTACAAGTGCTTCACATGAGAGTTACGTGACTCCTAGAAATTTTCAGTTGTATTCCGCGTTCGTACTTTTGGTAAACTGCTGGCTTAATCATCCTCTAATGCGATGTACGATCTAAAATTCAGATTGGCCAAGTGTTTGATAAGATTACGAGTTACAATATCTCTTGGCAAGCTATAAGATAAGGTTTCTTTTACTTGGATTCAACTTCCAATTATTTGTCGTGAGCTGAGCTCATTAAAATATTCGTATTTAATTGTTGTGTGATTACATAATAGATATTTCTTTAAGATATGTTATTGGATTCTGTGATGAAAAAATTTGATGTATTTGATATTAAAAAAGGAAATAATATATTAAAACAAATTTTTAAATTAAATAAAATATTTAATTAAGTAATGCATAAATTTATATAAAAAAGAGAGATACATATATTATATACTATCTCTGTGTATGATCGATAAAATTGTGTGTGTGTGTGTGTGTGTGTGCGCGCATGTGTAATGCATTAATTCAACATAATGTATACGATTAATAAAGTGATATTGAAGTAGTAATGAAAACGAGCAATTTGTCTCCATTCGACTCAATTGACTCTAGAAACTGCGAACGTGTTTATAACAATAAAAGATAGAAACGATTTTTACACAAATTGTCAAAGTTGAAAATGTCATTCTAATTTCAAATTAGAATAATTTTATAGTAATTATATATAGATATATTTATTTTTACATTTAATTTTTAACAATTTTTCAAATTTTTAATATATTATTAATAACATTGATTTTTTAAATATATTACATTTTTATTATATTTCTATTTCTTTTATTTAAATAATAATTATAACAAAAAAAATCAAAATTAATTTGGTAAAAATATATCCTTCAAAAATTTAATACCGTTAATTTGATAACTTATTACTTAAATGACGCGGTAATAATTACGCGTAATAACATGCTTCATTTCTTTTGCTTCGTCTTCCTCAGAACAGCTTAACTTTTTTATCTGTAATAATGACTCATGCGTTCTTGTTTCTTCTCGCAAACTTGGCGATCAAGCAAACATATTTAGCGAAGATATTTTGGCCAAGAGAAGTTCATCGAACTTACATTGATAAACTTTGATATTTTTATCGAATAATGATATAGTTAAATACTTATAATCTAATTAAATAAAATTAAAATTTTTCCAAATCTCACGTACAGACATCGATTCCGGACGCGAACAAATTTCTCACGTGCGTTTAATTTTGAATCCATTTAATCCATTTAAATACCGAGCACATGTTTAAAATGCACATTCTTAGGACGATATATGAATGTTCTGCACACGTGAAAGCTGGGAACATGTGTTCTGATACGAGCAACGGACGCTCGGAGACTGGCTCGAGGAAGAGCGTGAGCGATAAAAACCGGCTCTGCAACTCCATCCGAACGTTGATCGTTCGTAACAAGTGGTAACAACAAGCGCCTTTGTTCTGGAGCGCGAATGCAGGCGCACGGTGCTGCACTCGGTGTATTTTTTTATCAATCAATTCTTTGCACACATTGCGGATGCAAATTAATCAACCTTATTATCTCGTCTATAAGTACAATGACACGAGTGACACGTATGTGTGTTACATCATCTGGAATATATATGGAGCATCAAGATTTTATCGCGCTTTTAAGTTCATAATTTTATATCAAGATATTCATTAAATTTTAATAAAAATAAATAAGCAGATGTAAAAATAAATATTGATTGTATATGTTGGAGTTATTACGCATGCAAATCACTTTCCTTTATTTGACGTTTCTTTTATCAATTTGGAGTCTCTAAAAAACAGAGTATAAACATTTACGAAATAATAATCAGTTTGACAAGGAAGTGGGTAAAAATACGAGATTGGGTTCGTTGTACCTAAAAATACGGCGTATACAGTTGACTGTAGATAAGATAACAGAGCATGAAATTACAAAATTGTCACGGAGATACTTTTTATTTGATTTAATGCATGAAAATTTTTTAAAAGAAAATAATATGTAGCCTAAATTAAAAATTTTTATTGACGCATAATGGATTATCATGTTAGATAATTATAGGAGATCAATTAAGAGAAAACTCAATTAAAAATTATACTACTTTATTTTACTAATATTCTTCTTTCAAAAATTGGACATTACACAAATACACAGATTATCCTACACGCACTTACTATTAAATTTAAATTACTACTCAATTATATCCATTTGTAATTGTTTAACTACATCAAGTTGTCGTTTGCGAGAAGCACTGTATAAAAATTCAACGCTCCACATAACAAATGTAACAAGTGTCATGGCGGTCATTATATGGATGCAGATTTTGTAACTACCACTAACATCTCTGACGTATCCTTTTACAAAAGAAAATAGATAATAAATTAGAATTTAATGTCAAATTTAAATAGGCACAAGAAAAATATAATGTTATTCCTGATACAAAAAATCGATATAAAACATTAGGAACCGATAGAATTTGTAAAAAATTTTATCGTTTCCTATTGTAACTTATTGTTTCACTTTTTATATTCTGAAAGAAATGTTATCGTTTCTTATCGTCTCTATTGTTCCTTTTATTTTTTGTTAAAACTGGATTAGGTTGTTAGAATACGATAAAATTCTTATAGTAATATATTGCTTTTTATCGTTGGAATTTATCGAGAAAAATGATTGAAAATTTATCGTAATCAATTATATATTCATAACTACGAGTAAAACCGATGCAATCGTTTGTTTTTCATCGATCGTTTTTTTATATCAGGGATACTTATTATATCGTATCAACGTACCGATTAAAGGACTTATAATGATTACGCACAAGCCTTTAAACACCATAAATATTCCAAATGCACTCGGTAGTTTCTTCAAAGTACAGCATTCCGATATGCAGAGATTAAGATTCACCAATGTGGCGCCGCGCAAGAAACCCGCTATCACAAGCATGGTAATCAATGGTATCATTGCCGTTTGTTCTGCCAATACTGTAAGCAAATTTTATATTTTCTGGTGTTTTGTCTTCACAACTTTAATGGAAAAATTACCGGAACGTGCGCTTCCAAGGAAGAGGCAGAAGACCCAAAAGATCACGCGCTTCTTCCAGCCGAACTTGTCGAAAATCGTCGGCAACAACAGCCTGGCAATGATGTCAACGAATGCGGTCAGGGATAGGCAAAAGGCGACCTCCGCTTTCGTCATTCCTGTCGATCGTCAAGTTCCTACGAGCAATCTATGTAATTCCCGAGCAGTGCCGTAGAGAGGATGTTTGCTTTTTTTCGATCATCGAATTTCCTACAATATTGTTGAGTACAATATTGTTGTGCGAATAACTTGTAATTTCGATCTTTATTTGTTTGTAACGCAGAAAGATTTTATTCATCAACGAAAAATAATAGACATCCTTTGCTACGGTACACTGATTACGATTTGCAATTAAACTCACCGATATCCGAGAGGAAGAAAGGCATCATTAATTTATAATTCGATTCGGCTACATAGTAAAAACTACAGCCTAGAGAGACATTTAAGTACGTGGAATTCTTGAGAAGATCCAAGTCAAAGGTTGCTTTTATCTTCTTCATGAACGATTCACTTTTAGATGAGAGTTTCGGTTCATTTTCCGCCTTTTGATCCTCGGTCCAAATTGCTCCATTTGACATCCTTCGTGATCCACTAGGATTCGTTTTCATTAATAAAGCCTCGTTTTCTCGTTCCTTATCAGTCTTTTCCTGGAGAAGAATTTTATACATGCTATGTTATTTCACATATTATCATTTTTAAATTAATTTTCTGAATAATTTAACATGAAAAAATTCGCGACATAAATTATACGCCATTTGACAAATATGTTTGTCGCTTAAATATCATTTAATATTTTTAGATAAGAATAATTACTTCAACTGGTTGTGGCAATGATAACGGTTTTTCTTCAAGTGGACGTAATAAACATGATCCCACTACAGCATGCAACGCCCATCCTCCCATGATAAGTGTTGTGCCACGAAATCCATACAATTCCAATAGCATGTGTATCAGCTGTACAATGTATCATTATAGATTATACGAGATTTATTTGTTTTTTTTTAAATATATATTTCTTACCAGCGGTACGAGCATCATGCCCAATGCAGTTCCTGCCATGGAAAATCCAACCGCTTGGCCACGCTTTTTGTCGAAATACGTGTTCAGCGCGACGAAGGCACAAGCCATTGCAAGGCCAGTACCCAGGCCTAAAAATAATCATTAAGTCTTAATAATAATTAAGAAAATATATGTAAAAATTATTTTTAAACGTGTAACTATTATAATAAGAGGAACTGTATGCAAAAAACTATATAATTTATAGTAATAATTTTATACCTCCTACGATACTGTAGGTGCAAATAATATAAAGCATGCTATTTGATCTGGATGTAAGTATCAAACCACTACAGCTGAGTAAAGATCCAAAGAATGCGATTTGTCGGTAAGAATATTTTTTTAACAATGGCCCAATTAGAAAACCTATAAATTTATAACAAATAAATAATTTAATAAATAAATATAGTTTCTCTTTTTTAAATTTCAAAAATTTTGATTAGATATTGAAAAAAAGTCGCATTTACCTGAAAAATTAATAATAGCATCTAAAACGCTCATTATAACAGACGTTCCTGTAGAGTCCACATTGAGTTCCTCTAGCAAATCTTTGAAAAGTAGTCCGAAAGATGGATCCAAAGAGCGCAACGAAAGCTGCAATTTATGTATTTCATATGTATTGTCAGTAATACATATACAGGGTGTTATAAAAGTACTGGAACAGCAGAATAACTTGAAAAATATGAGTCCTAGAAAAAATGCTAAGTACTGGATTTTTATGATTTTTTCTTGGCTATCTGACGTTCAGATAGCCAGGAAAAAATCATAAAAACCCAGTACGTAACATTTTTCCTAGGACTCATATTTTTCGAGTTATTCTGCTGTTCCGGTACTTTTATAACACCCTGTATATGTATATAAGATAAAAAATTTTTAATTGAAATAATAACAAATATATGTAACAATACATTAATTTGCACGATATGCAATAATGTGCAACATATATAATTATTACAATTTTATTTTATGAGTGCATAAAATTATATCTTTATCTCTAATAATTTTTTTACATTCTTTATTAATTTTTTCTATTATATTTTTATTAGAATGTAAATAAATTACTTTGACATACTAAAACGCAATAATAATTCTGCTGGAATTTACCGAAATTAGACTGCTTCCAAAACAAACGAACCAGCCCCAGCCTCCATCCAGAGTTCTCTTAGCCTCTTTTTTTGTATTGTCTGTCATTTTCCAAGAACTGTTTTTAATGCGGTTTTGTATAAATTAACACTAGTGTTGAAGGACAATTGCACACATATACTGACAATGAGAGAGCTACGTTGTCTGTCAATGATCTCCTTCAATTTGCTCGAGCGGTTTTTGATCGGTTTTAAATAGCTCTCGCTGATGACCAATCAGATACGTTTGCAACAATATTATACTTCTTATTTCTGATTGACTAATTGTTTGTCACGATGTCAGCAATTTAATTCTTCGCTCGATTCCACTCTTGCTTATATAAAAGAGCACAGTGGACAGTCTATAATGGAAAATTTTGAATGAATTGACATATAGCAATGTACGATCGATGTCTACGTGTACGATCGAAATAACAAATAATCTTATGCATTCATGTATTAATGTATTATGTAATGACAAGGAAAAATATTACATTAAGATATACATTTACATAACAAAGAAGACACAATCTATTGTAATCGAATTCGGCGAACATAGTGAATGAAAAAAATATCTATTGCACGTTTGGAATTTGACGGAAAATTACGTCAACTTTTTTTTGCGACTTTTTAAATATTTTATCCTTAATCATGTCACAATATGCACAATGTAAGATATTGATTATGTATGTACCTATATATATATATATATATATATATATATATTCTATATCTCTTTTAATATTATCTATATTAAAAAGATAACACATACACATATAAGAAAATCTACGATTATACAATGTATTATCTATAAGTATAGATATCATTAATAAATTTAGTCGAATATGACATTATATGTATATATTCTACATCATAATTATTTTAGTTCTAATCTTTATAACTAATTATCTATACACATTATGTCATGTAAAAATATTTTTTTTTGTGTTATAATTTTTTTACTGAATGCTTCTATAAGAATTATACTGTATTATTATATAGTACATATATACATACATACAATACATATAATAAAATAATGATGAAATCTTTGGTTACGTATCTTTATGCAAAGTTTTATTTAAACATTCGTGATTGTTTCACGTAATTATGTCATTTTTCCTCACTTCTATTGTATTTTGCATTATGCATATTTTCTGTAACAATTATTTTCAACATTATTGTAAAATTATGGGTAAATTTAATACATGTTAAAACTTACATTTTTTTATTGTAAAATTTTTATTTTATTAGTTGCTTCTATTAATTACGTCATCTCTTGTGCCACTTATTTATTTTTCACTGGTCACTTTTTTCTTGCTTAATAATGCAAAGATCTTTGTGGCTTGCTAACATAAATGTGACTGAATACGACTTGGTATAGTTGGCACGTAATTGTTAATACGCCGGTCTACTGGTCACACACAAATCAGTTACAACACTGGCCGACCTTCGTCGGATGACCGTTTTATCGGTTTCCATATTGTATATGTATACATATATATAGGTAACTACTCACGAGATAAATATAAAAGCTAGGTTTATATACAAACATGTTATTTTTATCAATACGCATTAATAATAATTTATTATAATAAAGTTTATGTAACGTGTAATATAGTGATATAAAAATAATTTATACGTTATATATATATATTATTATTATTATATATTACAATATATTGAGTTATGTATATGTGCAATATATATACTTTAATAGAATATAAATTTTGATTGTAATTATAAAAAATTTAATATTATTGATATAATGTGTAAATTTATATTGTAATTTTGATATTTTATGTAAAATAGATATAATTATATTGATACTATAAAGTTTTTCTCATATAATGCAAACAGCCCCTTAACTTATGTAACTGCAAAAAATAGATGTATATATGGTAAACATTGTTCAGGTTTAGTTCTTCTCTATAAGAAGAATATAATTTTTTTATAATTCTTATAATAATTTTTTAGTACACATACAAATTAATCTTAATTATATATATTAACCTTAATTAACTAAAATTAAATTTGTAAAAGATATGTAAAAGCAATTACTTAAAAATATCGAAATTTAATTGTTACTTTTTTAATTATTGCCAGTTATTTAAAATATTACTGCACAGTGAAATGTAAGATTTTACTAGATAATTGCCTTAGCAATAGTGTCAATTTTTGTTAATCTATCAATGATAAATAGAACAGTGCATCAACAAGTTTAACATAAAGTCCGAAATTTTTGTATAATTATCATTAGCAACAAATATTTAAATTCTGTATAATAACCAAAAAAGCATTAATGCGCCGAATTATTAACTATTAATCAAAACCGATCACGTCGATAAAAATACTACATTTTATAAAAATTAATTTACGCAATAGAAGCTTATATGTGCGTTATTATTTTCTTTTTCTTAATATTTTGCTCAAGAGAAGAGGTTTGTATTTGTTTTGTATTTATATTGACATTTGATAAAAAGATTAAGTGATTCTTGAGATAAAAACGATTTTCTGCTCTTGTCGACAATGCATTAAGCAATTAGCTTTTGTTGCTTATAGATTCTGGCGCCAACGTTTGTAAACTTCACTGTTACAAAGTGGAATAGTTGAGATAAAATTGAAAGTTTTATAGTTTTTGTATTAATAGTGGATATAAAAACAAAATATTTATTTTTTGTAACCATTATTATTATGAAATTCGCAAGAATAAATGAGTATCTTTATATAATTTAAATCTTTAATATGTAATAAATAAGCTATCACATAAATCAGTTTCTTAAATAATGTATAAAATATCACGATTCGTTTTTCATTTACAAGTTTATAAGTTTAAAAGAGCGTAAAACAACGGTAATCGATATCACACATTCTTGTGGTTTCTGCATTTCATATCGTTAAAGATGTCAGTATAGAAAAAAGTCGTTTCAGTTATGGTATTTTTACTATTATTAGCGGTTTACAATAGTCTTTATTTCCTTACATAAGATCAGATTCTAATTAAATTTCATGTTTCACATATCTCTAAAATATATTATTACAGTCTGTTCAATAAGAAAGTGACTGCCATAATTTGGAAGAAATAAAATTTCGATTCAATTTTATTTTTTTTATTGAAATACACATTATTAGTTATTGCGCAATTACTTAATATTTTGTCCAATTACCTTCATTACTCATGATAGCTTCACATCTTTTTCCATGCTTTCGACGAGGTTTTCTGCATATTCATTTCACAAAGATTACTATATCTTCTTAATTTTCTTAATTCTTATCTTCCGATGTTTAGGTTTTTTCAAAGTTGATTGAAAAGACGCGTTTCTTTCATGCAGGCGACTTCGAATCGTATTTAGAGAGATGTAAATTCCTTTATTGCGGAGTTTTATTTGGGAAATAGCAAATTTGGGAGATAGCAACCCAGATAACAAAGTATATGCATTCTGTACTCATATTGTACTCATATTTCTTAAAACATGATGACAGAGATAGACAGCTGCAGACTCATATACTCAAAACACGGACATATTATGATATCTTAAAAATGTTTACAAAAAAATGTCATTATGAGTACATAATTATGCTCAAATTAATATCTGAGCTCACATTTTTCATCATACGTATGTAACTTGTGCTCATAATATTTATCATCATAATATGATTACAAGACATACAACACATTTCAATTATATCAGAAGATTATGATGAAATCTGATTATCAGGCATTTCTATCTGAAAAGATCATTTTATCCTCTATCGTTGTTGTCACGCGGTTTAGTCTTCTTTTCGACAGGTAAGTCTACATTCCGAACTTCCAAGTATCGCTTTACCAACTTTTTAATGAATGTCTTTGACTTTTACATATATTTTGTACCCACTTTATCTGACAGTTTTGGTGCTTTTACATGATTCAGTAAATAGATTGCTTCGTATCGCTTCAGGAATTTTGTACTCATTGTAAGAATATTATTCAGAATTGAACTAATAATCTTGTGTGTGAAATAGTATATTAAATTTCTCTGATATTATACAGTGTGCACATTGTAGCTCAAGCTTTGAAATATTTATTTATATACATTTAAAAATTGTTAAAAAATGCGTAAAGGATCATACTATATAAATAAGTTTGTATCCGCTGACAATAAAAAAATTAAGATAATAAAAAAGCACCATTGAAAAGCTTCCCAGCGAGAAATGATGGTCGAATCGATGTCGATTCAATCAATTTGACATCGATTCGACGACGAATCAACGTCGATTCGACCCTCATTTCTCGTTGGATTATTATGCTTGAATAAATGACTCGCTAATTTAGTTGTCGAAGTAAAAGAATAAAAAAACGTAATAAATGGATGTCTACTCTTTTTTTCTTTTACATTTTTTATATATATATTTAGTTATTTTTGCAAAATTTTATCAAAAAACGAGTAATGGCAAAAAGATCTGTTTTTTCGCCCATTTGATAAAATCGAATTTTGGGATCTCAAATTTCAAACTTTTTTTATGTCAAATATACTATATGATGAGACATTAATCCCAGAGAAATTTCAAGATGAGCATAGCCACGGTTCCGGAGAAATATAAAGAAGTGAAAGTGATAGTTTCTCATCCCTGACTAGAAATTATCACTTTCATCTTTCATCCCCTTGTATCTTTGGATTCGTGCTTATGCTCATCTTGAAATTTTACTGGGATTAATATTTTATCTAATTGTACTATTTACCATGAAAAAAGTTTGAAATTCGAGCCCCCAAAAATGAGCGAAATTTGCCATCACTCTTTTATAAAAAATCAATGTTTCCTATATTTAGATGCATCTTTCAATCATTAACACACATTTGCATATTTTTTCTCGATGAATTTTTATTTTTCGTGCAACATAAAAATCTTGGAACTCTTACAATTGTTCTTTTAAACTTATATGACTAAAGAAAAAAATTTAAATAGATATTTATAAATTATCAAAATTATATTTTCCCTTCCTGTTTGATAGGAAAAGTTTTTTGGGAAAAAGGAAGCAGTCTCATTTATTAAAGATTGATTAATCTTTAATTTAGAGAATTAAATATAGAGATTCTTTAATATCTAGAAAATAATTAAATTTTTAATATTTAGAAAATAATTAATATAAGAAATTAAATATTTATTAATTTTTAATTCATTTCATTTTAGACTTTTATTTAGTAACTAGAAACAGAAAAATGTAATTGTATTAAGTTTTATCTGACAGATAGCAATCTTCTTTTTTCAGATAAGTCCTAAAAGAAAAGAAGATATGCTATCTGTAAGGTAAAAGTTACGAAGAAGTTGGAAACGTCCACCCTAAAGATACCAAAATCGATGTTTTCAATAATTATTCTCTTTTCAAAAAAGGTAATGTTTTATCGCTAGTCAAAAGTCCCGAAGTAACTATTGCCTCTTTTCTTCTATAACGATTCTTCCTGTCATCGTGCTCACGTTTACTTCGTGAGCGGCTGTCATTACATATTTTAACAGTTATATGTATATCAAAAGGTAATAGTGTAGTGAGACTTTAAAATTGTGAGAAATTAAAATTTGTCCAAGTTTTATAATAATTTTTTTATTGCTCGTTTCACATGGCCTCGTAATATTTAATAAGTTATCATTGTGTAGTGAGACTTATATATATATTAAAGGATTTGGTGTACATAAGTATTAAAATCTGATAAATAAATACGTGTTTATTAATTTTGCTATTGAGTGGTTTCAAATACAGTAGTCTCTCAGTTAGAAAGAAACATAGAAAATAGGTGAATTAAAATTATCTGCATAAATAATGGAAATTGTAATGTAATATGTACATAATAGAAATTCGAATAATTAAAATTATGCATTTAATAGAAATTCGGCGAATTAAAATTATGTATATATTATAAATCCGGTGAATTAAAATTATGAACATAACAATCTCAATCATGAACACATTTTTGCTTTTTGCAAATTAACTCTCATATTAACATACACACATACATTATTTAATGTTCATGTGGATATATCCGGACAAGGTATAAAATGTTGTACATAGTGTCGATCGTTAAAGATATTGTCGTGGTTTATTGTACATATCATACAGTTGTTTGGATAAAGTGAAACGTTAATAAAATTACAATATACATATTGTAAATTAGCAAGATTGTCTTTTAGCAATACGTATCTGTGCGAATTTCTGGTCCAGAAGGGTAGAATCGTAATACGATCAATTAATTAATATCTTGTCGAGAAAAGAAGGTGGAGAAATCATATAAGACACGAGAGACTCAAAGGAAACAACGGTTACTTACAAGTAAAACATATAAATCGTGGAGAATTTTTGATGAATTAAAATTATGTATATAATTTTAATTAATATTATGTATATAATTTTAATTCGCCGTATTTCGATTATGCGCATATAATTTTAATACGTCGAATTTCTATTATGTATGTAATTAATTCTTAAATAATAAAAGACTTATTTCTGAAATGTTATACATAAAAGAACATAAAAATAGTATAAATTTAAAGAAAGACATCGAATCTTTTGAAAGCCGTTATTTTGACATTTTAGAAAAATTATCTGACACACTTTTTTAATAAAAAAAATTAACCTTTAACTATTGACAACATTATTGACTATATAAACAGGCTTTGATATAATAATGACATATATTATTCCCTGATATTGCTGAGTCGCAACAACCAACAAAAAACATCAATATGTAAGTTATTGCTAATTTATATTTTACGGAGTGTTCTTTTTTGAGATTATGTTTAAATTTCTTTTTTATATTTTATACATGCGGCTAATCGTATTGATAAAGACTTAGTAAGGTCGAAACGTCTACATTTATATTATGAATAAATAATTTTTAATTATTCTTACATCTAAATTATTTTGGCTCGTATATATTAAAAGGATTCCTGCTTTTTATGTTTTATTAATCTTAAATTTCCATTATGTACATTTATAATTTTAGTTCACCGAATATTTATAATGTACATAATTTTAATTTACCGAATATTTATAATGTATATAATTTTATTTCGCCAAATTTCTATTATGTACATAATTTTAATTTGCCGAATTTCTATTATGTAAATAATTTTAATTCGCCGAATTTCTATTATGTATATATTAATTTTCTAAATTAAAATTATGTACACTCGCAAACCAAAAAGATGACTGCTGAAATATGAATTTCAGCGGTCATCTTTTTAGTTTGCGAGTGTACATAATTTAATTAAATATTTAATTAAAATTAAACTCAAATTAGAAATAGTATTATATAGTGTGTTATACGTATACATATTTATTATTTATCTGGCTCTTTGAACTCTAGAATTTTGAATTGCAACTTATCCTATGTTCATAAATATAAGTTTAGAGATTCCAAAATCTCTGGTTATACATTTTCTTGAAGTATTTTGAAACAAATATACGTATAAAAGTCAATATTATATTCTCATCTATCTCGTTAGATTCGTTTATACATGCGTTACTACATACGTTACTACATGCATTAAATTTATTATTTCAAGATTGAAAGGAAACATAATATGACAGTAACAAAAACGAATAGCCCATCGACAAGTACACCTACAGTCGATAACATAACCGGAAATAAAAAAGAGGAGGACAAAACTAGAAAAAGAGAAGAACTACTAAATAATGAGGATGATATTACGTTAGCAGATCGGGCACCAGACGGCGGCTGGGGATGGGTGATTGCATTGGCAATGATATTTACCTATGTTAGTATAAAAGTGATATAATAATGCTTATTGTTAGCATAATTTTTGAACCAAACAAATTATTGCACATCTGCAAATAATATGGCCTTAATTTTTTTTAAATCTTTTCTAACGTAAAAATAGATTTTATATAGAAATATGTAATTTATATTTTAGCTCACCACGATTGGCCAAATAATGTCATTTAACTTAATCTTTGGCGATTTCATCCAAGCTTCTGGACAGGCTGTCTTGGCATCAAATCTCTTCCATGCCTTCTTCATGATCTCCTACTTTATTGCATGTAAGCGTTTTATATTTATAATAATTAATCTCGAAGAGAATGCTTTAAATTATGTAAACTTATCGATAAATAAATTTAATAAACACATATAAAAATTACAATTAGACAATAGAAATTTGTTTAATATCATTTTTCTTAAGATTTTTTCCTTAAAAGAATACGTTTGCATTTGCATTTGTGCAATCTATGATAAGAAGATTCTCAAAGATCTATGATAAGGAGCGATTCTCGAAGATGGTATTCCACAAAACTGCGTTTTTAATGGAAATTTCCTTTGAAATAAGTTTAAATATAACACTTTTGTCATAAGTTAATTGAGATTTGCAAGTAAGTTAATTTGCATGAATTTTACACAGTAATATATTTTTTGCAGGCTTAGTGACCAACACTTTGTTGAAAAGATATTCTACAAGACCGGTCGGAATTGCAGGAGCGCTCTTATTCGCAATACAAAACATTATGCGGGCGTTTGTCAGAAACATATTTGACATGGCATTTCTTTTTTTAATACAAGGTTTTGGAATGGGTCTAATCATAACAGTCTGCTATACGGTTTTCAATGCGTACTTCGTGAAAAAGAGAACGAAAGTAAAACAAAAAATCATTACTCATGCTCGAATTTATTTTAGAATTTTAAATGCTCAGAAAATTATCTTTTCAAATTCTTCAGGTGATGAGCGTAGCGCAAGTCTTCATCGCGTTGGGTGGAATTATTTATCCAAAATTAATCGGAAAGTTAAAGATAGTGTATGATTTTCGCGGTAAGACTCCAATAAAAAATTCTAGAAAATTGCAATGAATAATGATTTTCTCATCATTTGTATTAGGTACCGCAGCGATTATCGGCGCAATAAGTCTTAATGGTATCATCGGCATGGCACTGATGCATCCCGTGGAACGGCACCTCAAGAACATTGATGTTGTTCGTGCTGAAAAGGCGCGTGAAAAGGAAGAAAAGTGTCAAGAACTGGCACTATCGAGTCAACGTCATTCGACCATCTCGGGAATCGAGAGTGAAATTAACGAAAGGTCGGAATCAGTATCTATGCGGGAAAATTTAACGAGGCGGATGTCGACTTTATCCGCATCCAGCGTAGCCAATTTGGCGACTAGCGTCGGTGCATTGAGTGATATACGTCAACAATATCTGAAAGAGCAAATCTTGGAGGACCAGACAAATAAAGAAACTCTGAAGGAGAGAGAGAATGAGAAGGAAACGCCGAGGAAAAACAAGAGGAGTCAAAGTGAGGATCATTTTTACAATTTAAATTCAACATGTCTTAAAATTTTATAATAGATTAGTATATATGCTTAATAGATTTTCAGTCGCTTCAATCTCGGGAATCGAGAGTGAAATTTGCGAAAGGTCGGAATCAGTATCTATGCCAGAAAATTTAACGAGTGGGATGTCGACTTTATCCGCATCCAGCGTAGCCAATTTGGCGACTAGCGTCGGTGCATTGGGTGATATACGTCAACAATATCTGGAAGAGCAAATCTTGGAGGACCAGACAAATGAAGAAACTCTAAAGGAGAAAGAGAATGAGAAGGAAAACGCCGAGGAAAAACAAAAGGAGTCAAAGTGAGGATCATTTTTACAATTTAAATTCAACATGTCTTAAAATTTTATAATAGATTAGTATATATGCTTAATAGATTTGATCATTTCATATTGATATAATTTAACATTAAAACAAATATACAAAGTGATTAATTTTGTTTAAGGTATAAGAAATTTGTGAAGGAGCTTCTGGACATGTCGCTCGTAAAAAATTGGGCTTTCTTGAATATATGTTTTGGCGTTTGCTTTGTGTCCACTGCCGACTTTGACTTCTCCTCTTTTCTGCCTTTAATCACGACCAAATTGGGATACACTGCACAAGAAACTGAGTTAACTGTTTGGATTAATGGAATTGCTGAGCTGGTGTCGAGAGTTTTACTAGTATCTTTCACAATGATAGTGGATGTAAAGCCAAAATATCTGTTCTTCGCGGGTATGATTTTGATGGGATTTGCAAAACTAGGTGAGCACCTTCCTGCGTGATTAATAAATATAATAAAATTAAATTAGCTTCCGTGAATAATAAATCGATTTTTACGCACATATTTTCAGTTTCTAAGATAAAAAAATTACAATTTCTAGGTTTTTTATTATGCGAGCATACGCTTAAGGGAGTGTTAATTACGACAGCGTTAATCGGTTTTGTTCGTGCGTGGCTGTTGGTTTCACAGTCTATAGTCATTATCGATGATGTTAGCATAGAAAAGTTTGCCTCGGCTTACGGTTTCTTTGGAATGATTTCTTGTTTACTTTCTTTAACCTGCAGCGCCACCGTAGGTAAGAAGAAAACGGGGTAATATCATTGTTGATATTCATATATTTATATTTGTAATATTATACGTGCATATATTGTAGGACTTATTATTACTGGGAACTATGATATGTATCAAGTCTTTCTACTAGTATTACAATGTACATTCATTATACCTTGGGCTCTACAGTTTATCTTTGTGCATCTTAGAGAACGACGAAGGCCACATGCACAGAATATTATTATATAGTCTTTATCCAAAAAAGAATATAGAATATATGTCAGGTATTTTATTATAAATTTTTGACCCACAACTCATCGAACATGTTGGAAGAAAAAACAATTATCAATTAAAGTACATTATCGTGCTTGTTTCTTCTATAATACTATTAGTTTTATTATTTAGCTTTATTATTTGCCATCTTTAATATAAATCAGTGTAGGTTTTTTCTTATTTAAAAGAAAAATTATATAAATTATATATAATTTTATAATTATATATAATTATATAATATATTTTATAATTAAATATGGTATTTTAATAATGTTTAATCTTTTTGTATATTAAAATATTGAATATCTTTAAATATAAATTAGATCTAATATTTTTATATTTAGAACACTAACTTGTATATGTTAGTCAAAGCCCGATGTGCGAGCGTTTCTAGGATCGACTGGTAAATCTTGCGGAACAACTAAGCGTGTTGGTCAAAGTCCGAAATATTTTTGTCCGAAAGGCTTTTGACTAGTACGGTTTTAGTAAATCTTAGGAATAACTAATATGGCTGTTAAAGTTGAAGACTAAAAAAAATCATTTCGAACTTTGACCAGTTAATCTTAAATGTGGTTTAATTCGGACTTTGACTAAAAAATATAACCAAGATTCTTGACAGGTTTTTATTGTTAACATAGCTTGTAATTTACTTTACTTTTGTAGTTATTTTTCTTAAAGCACTTTTTTTAAAAATATACATATGTTTTAATATCTTTTAATAATTAGTATAAAATAAAATTATCTTCTCTCGCAGCGATCACTCTAGAAAAAACAAATTTTTTATCGCCTTTGTCATTAAAAAAAAAAAAATATTTTCAAATTAGACACGCTATTACTGCACAGTAAAATACGAGATTTTACTAGATAATTAGCAATAATATCAATTTTTGTTAATCTATCAATGATAAATAGAACAGTGTACCACAATAGATTTAACGTAAAATCTGAAACTTTTTCCTTTTTCATTTATATATCATTATCATTAGCAACAGTATTTAAATTTTGTATAATAACAAAATAAAAAAAGCATTAATGCGTCGAATTATTGACTATTAATCAAAACCAATCACGTCAATAAAGATACTACATTTTATAAAAAATTAATTTGCACAATGAAGCTTACGTGCGTTATTTTATATTCTTTTCTGAAGACTTTGCTTGAGAGAAGAGGTTTGTACTTTTTTTGTATTTATATTGACATCTGATAAAAAGATTAAGTGATTCTCGAGATAAAGACGATTTTCTACTCTTGTCGACGATGCATTAAGCAATTAGCTTCTGTTGCTTGCAGATTCTGGCGCCAACGTCTTTAAACGTGACTATCACAAAGTAGGAATAGCTGAAATAAAACCAAAAGTTTTACTTATAGTTTTTGTGTCAATGGTGGATATAGGAACAAAATATTTGTTTTTTGCAACTATGATCATTATGGAATTCGCAAGAATAGGTTAGTATCTTTAATTTTAATTTTTAATATGTGATAAATAAGCTATCACGCAAATTTTCATTTTCTTAAATAATGTATAAAATATCACGATTTGTTGGTTTTTTAGAATACAAACTTATGAGTTTAAAAAAGCGTAAAACGACGACAATTGGTGTCACATATTCTTGTGGTATCTGCATTCCATATCGTTAAAGATGTCAGTTTAGAAAAAGTCGTCTCAGTTATGATATTTTAATTTTTTATTAGCGGTTTACGATAGTCTTTAATTTGATAGTATATAGTTTTTATTTTTACATAAGATCAGACTCTAATTAAATTTCATGTTTGACATATCTAAGATATATTATTACAAGAGATTTATTTAGAATTGAACTAATAATCTTGAAATAATAAGTATATAAAATTTCTCTACTAATATTAAACAGTGTATGTATTTTAACTTAAGCTTATTGTAATTAGCTTTGCAATATTTATTTATATACATTTAAAAAATTGTTTAAAATTGCGTAAGAGATGATACTATGAAGTTTTTATCCGCCGACAATAAAAAAATTAAGATAATAAAGAAGCATCATTAAAAAGCTTATTATGCTTGAATACATGATTCGCTGATTTAGTTACTCATTATCGATAAAAGAATAAAGAGACGTAATAAATAGATGTTTATTCTTTCTTCTTTCATATTTTTTATACATATATTGGATTGTTGTGCAAAAATTGTAGAGATAATTTTATTAAAAAAATTTTATATATATAAAAAATCAATGTTTCCTATACTTAGATGCATCCTTAATTATTAACAAACGTTTGCATAGTCTTTTCTCGGCGAATTTTTATTTTTCGTGCAACATCAAAATCTTTGAACTCTTAAGATTGTTCTTTTAAATCTATATGACTAAAGAAAAAATTATTAATAAAAATTTAAATTATCAAAATTATATTTTCACATTCTTTTTGATAGGAAAATTTTAAGAGGAGGGAGGGCAGTCTTATTTATTAAAGATTGATTAATTCTTAATTTAAAGAATTAAATATAGAGATTGTGCAAATAGAAAATAATTAATAAAAGAAATTAAGTATTTATTTCTAACCAATTTTTGTTTAAGACTTTTATTTAGTAACTAAAAACAAAAAAGTAATAAGTCGGTTTTGATATCTTTCTTTTACAAATAAAATTTTTTTATTATCTTATTTATCTCATTTATTATCTTATATTTATGTAGTGACTGTCCTTAAAAAATGAAAGAATTTAATACAATTCCATTTTCATAATTAAAGCTTATTTAATGCTTAAAGATTCTACGATCTTTTATGATCTTTATTAACTTGTGTATTCCGTTTATTCCTACACTAGTTAACATATTTAAAGCATATTATAATATCAGGTCATTTTATCATCATTAAATAATTTATTAATTCATTGATTTATTAATTAATTGATTGATTAATTGGGCATTAATTAATTGATTAATTAAATATATTAAAAAAAACATTTTCGATAATTTCTCACGCATACTATCTCATATTATATTTAATTGGTACACCTTATATAGCAGAGAGTACTTTTGTTTACATTCTCAGATTCTCTCTTGTGTAATTTCTTCGTGATATTACAACTGGTAATATTTCACTCCGGATAAGAATAGGTATTTAATATGATGGCATCTTGTATGTAGATAAGGGGGCGATTTCTTCAAAATCGTTTCTTACATGTTTCAGTTAGGTTACTGCCTTCGATTATCGTGGAAGTATATGTCGAAATCGTTGACGTTTGCCATATATATCTATCCGTGTGACAAATTCTGTTAGGTAAATACTCAAATCTTATCTTTAACCTGATTAATAAAAATAAAAGAGGTATAATAAAAATTAAAGAAGTATTGTTTGATTTTATTAAGTTGACATTGCAAAAAAAAAAAATTTTATATCTTATTGTATATAAACAATACTAACAAAGAAGGATATAAATAATTTTATGTAAAAATGTTTTTCTGAAAAGAGATTGTTTTGCAATTACATTCTTAGACCAATTTGATTTAACTATTCGCGGTATATAATATTTTATTTAAATTATCTCGTCTGTTTTATATTATGCTTATATTTATATATTTAAAAACCAAACTTTAAATATCAAAGATTATTCGTTCTCCAACAAGGTAAATTTATTTTACAACAAAAGAATAGAAAACTATTTATTGTACTTTATATATAAATCTGAATAAATTCAAAATCGCTTTCTGTATGATCAAGTTGAAACTATTCTCAATGCAGGGTTAAAAAATAAATTACTTATTTGACAGATATTTTTGCAGAAAATTATGATCGTAAAATATTAAATCTCGATGTCTTTCATTTAAATTTTTTCTAATTTTAATAATACTAATTAAAATAAAATATATTTACCATATATTTAAGATATATAACTTTGTTTTCGTATTTGCTTCTTATTAAATTCTTCTACACATTTTCGATCGCTTTGCCCAAAAAGAAAAGAAAAAATACAATACTTATAAATATATTTGAATAAATACATTAGGAAAGCGATGCATTTTTTTTTCTACATGCATTAAATTTATTATTTCAAGATTGAAAGGAAACATAGTATGACAGTAACAAAAACGAATAGCACGCCGACAAGTGCACATACAGTCAATAACGCAACCGAAAATAAAAAAAAGAAGAACAAAACTAGAAAAATAGAAGAACTGCTAAACAATGAAGATGATATTACTTGGGAAGATCGGGCACCAGACGGCGGCTGGGGATGGATAATTGCATTGGCGATGATATTTACTTATGTTAGTATAAAAGTAATATAATAATGCTTATTGTTAGCATAAAAAAGTATTATCTTTACTAAATTATTTAGAATAATTATCAGATAATTTTGGTTTAGAATTATACCACATAAAAATACTTAAATAGTACAACTTAAGCAGTAAGCGATAAAAATTCATAAATAAAAATATGAATGCATATATTTTTATAACTCTTTTATAATTTACATTTTTTTATAACTGTGTTTATATAAACAATTATTATATAGAAAATTATCTAGATAAATCCATATAATTTTATTTTGTCTAGATATATTTAAAACAAAATTATCTTCATCTTATTTAAGATGAATTTGCATATTTTTATATCATCTTTAGCTAGAGCTAATTTTAAAATCATCTAAGCACAACACTGCTTATTGCTAGCATAATTTTTGAAACGGGTAAATTATTGTTAATGTACAAATAATATGGCCTTTATTTTTTTCAAAGTCTTTTCTAACACAAAAAAGGTTTTATATAGAAATACCTAACTTATATTTTAGATTACCACGATTGGCCCATCACCGTCATTTGGGATATACTTTGGCGATTTCATTCAAGCTTCTGGACAGGCTGGCTTGGCATCAGGTCTCTTCAATTCCTCCTTCATGATCAGCTTCTCTATTGCAAGTAAGCGATATTTATAATGACTAAATTGGAAAAGAATGGAGTCATTGGTGTAAACTTATCGATTAAAACTGATAAATAAATTTAATAAACACATATAAAAATTACACTTAGGCAATAGAAATTTGTTTAATATCATTTTTCTTAAGATTTTTTCCTGGAAGAGTACGTTTGTATTTGCATTTGTGTAATCTATGATAAGATTCTCAAAGATCTATGATAAGGAGCGATTCTCGAAGATGGTATACCACTTTTATTTTTGTATAACGATACCAGTGCTTTAAGTTATGCTAACTTCTGCTGTAAATTTATAGGCATTTAAGTATAATTGCATTACATCATATACACGTATTCTATTTCGACACAACTAGTTTTATTATGCCGGATTATGCTTTTGTTTTACAAATCAGCGCTTTTAATGGAAATTTCCTTTATAAAGAAGTTTAAAGATAACACTTTTGTCATAAATTAATCGAGATTTGCAAATGGGGAATTAAGTGTATAAATTTAAACTGAATTTCTATATATGTATCTTTCTTATCAAGTATGATATAATTCGACGGAAAAAGAGAGATTTAATTTATACCTATAATTAATAATATTAATATAATACTATAATAATGTTGTGAAACATAAAAATATATTTGAAATATAACACATATTATTTAAAATTTATTAAAGTTTTGAAAAAAATGTGTCAAATGTTTAGCATTTTTAAGAGATTACATTTTGTTTTTTTCTATATTACTATATTATTATATTTCTATATATTATTATATTTTTATTGATAAAATAAAGTTTTCTTATTTTTTTCTGCATGAATTTTACGCAGTAAAATATTCTTTGCAGGCTTGCTGACCAACACTTTGTTGAAAAGATATTCTACAAGACCGGTCGGAATTGCAGGAGCGCTCTTATTCGCAATAACAGACATAATGCTGGCGTTTGTCAGAAACATATTTGACATGGCATTTCTTTTTTTAATACAAGGTTTTGGATTGGGTCTAATCATAACAGTCTGCAATACGGTTTTCAATGCGTACTTCGTGAAAAAAAGAACGAAAGTAAAACAAAAAATCATTACTCATGCTCGAATTTATTTAAGAATTTTAAATGTTCAGAAAATTATCCTTTCTAATTCTTCAGGTGATGAGTGCGGCGCAAGTCATCATCGCGTTGGGTGGAATCGTTTATCCAACATTAATTGAAAAGTCGATGATACTGTATGGTTTTCGCGGTAAGACTACAATGAAAAATTCTAGAAAATTGCAATGAGTAATGATTTTCTCATCATTTATATTAGGTACCTCAGCGATTATCGGCGCAATAAGTCTCAATGGTATCGTCGGCATGGCACTGATGCATCCCGTAGAATGGCACCTCAGGAACATTGATGTCGTTCGTGCTGAGAAGGCGCGTGAAAAGGAACAAAAGTGTCAAGAACTGGCATTGTCCAGTCAACGTTATTTGACCATCGACGTCATTCCTACATCCTCGAAGACTAAATGGAGCAGTCTTCAAAGTCTTAAGGAAGAAAGCGATATACAAGTGCCCTTATTAAACGACACGTTTAAGGTATCGTGAAATTTAATTGCAACTGACTTAATTCGTAACTTTTCGATCAACAACATTCCATCTTTCTCAATTCGAGCATACATTGACCATGTAAATCAGCCTTCTGCGCAGAGAGTCGCTTCAATCTCGGAACTCGAGAGTGAAATTCGGGAAAGGTCGAAATCAGTATCTATGCGAGAAAATTTAACTAGGCGGATGTCAGCTTTATCCGCATCCAGCGTAGTCAATTTGGCGACTAGCGTCGGTGCATTGGGTGATATACGTCAACAATATCTGGAAAAGCGAAACTCGAAGGACCAGACAAATAAAGAAATTCTGAAAGAGAGAGAGAATGAGAAGGAAAACGCCGAGGAAAAACAAGAGGAGTCAAAGTGAGGATTAGTTTTACAATTTAAATTCAACATGTCTTAAAATTTTATAATAAATTAGTATATATGCCTAATAGATTTCATCTTTTCATATTGATATAATTATTTATTAAAACGTATATACAAAGTGATTTATTTTGTTTAAGGTACAAGAAATTTGTGAAGGAGCTTCTGGACATGTCGCTGGTAAAAGATTGGGCTTTCATGAATTTATGTATTGGCGTTTCTTTGGTGCTCACCGCCGACTATGCCTTCTCCTCTTTTCTGCCTTTAATCATGACCGATGTGGGATACACAAAACGCGAAAGTGCGTTAACTATTACGATTAGTGGAATTGCTGAGCTGGTGTCGAGAGTTTTTCTAGCAGCTTTCACAATGATAGTGGATGTAAAGGCAAAATATCTGTTCTTCGCGGCTATGATTTTGATGGAATTCGCAAGAATAGGTGAGCATCTTCTCACGCGATTAAAATAAATATATAATAAAATTAAATTAGCTTCCGCGAATAATAAATCGATTTTTACGCACTCTTCAGTTTCTAAGATTAAAAATTATATAAAAAATTTACAATTTCTAGGTTTTTTATTATGCGAACATACGCTTATGGGCGCGTTAATTATGACAGCGTTAATCGGTTTCGCTCGTTCGTGGCTGTTGGTTCCACAGAATATAGTCATTATCGAAGATGTTAGCATAGAACAGTTTGCCTCGGCTTACGGTATCTTTGGCATTATTAGTGGTTTAGTTACTATAGTCTGCGGTGCTATCGTAGGTAAGAAGAAAACGGGATAATATTGCCGATATCCATATACTTATAATATTATACGTGTATATATTGTCGCAGGATTTGTTAAGGATTGGACTGATAGCTACGATATGTATCAAATCTCTCTACTAGTATTACATGGTGCATTTATTATACCTTGGGCTCTACAGTTTATCTTCGTGGATCTTAGAAAACATCGAAAGCAACGCGCACAGAAAGTCATTATAAAATCTATATCCAGGAAAGAATAAAGGATATGTGACAGGTGTTATTACAAATTTTTGATCCAACTCAACGAATGCGTGAGTGAAAAGAAAAAAGCAATTATCAATTAAATTACGTTATCGTGCTTGTTTCTTCTATAATACTGTTAGTTTTATTATTTAGCCCTGTTAATTTTCATCTTTAATGATGTATATCAGTGTAGATTTTTTCTTATATAAAAGAAAAATTAGTATTTTAATAATATTTAATTTTTTTGTATATTAAAATATTATATATTTTTAAATATAAATTAGATCTAAATTTTTTGTGTTTATAACACTTATTTGTACATATAATAAATAAATTATAATTATGTAATTTCAAAATAAATATTATAATATTGTAATATGTATTACATAATATATTCAACAAACTAGTGCATAAATGTCACAGATTCTTTATGAATTCTGTTTCTTTATTATCGCAAATATATTTTTTATCAAATATTAATTTATATGAAAAATGTCTGCATTATATAAATATCTTTTTTTTCTTATGAAAAGATTATATCATATAAAAAAAAAAGTATTGTTAAAAAGAGGATCAAACAAAAACTTTTATATAGTACTTTACTTGTAAAATTGTATTAAACAGTTCCATTAATCTTATTGTAAGTTAGTATTAAAAAAAATATACAATACATATCATATGTGGATTGTATGTAACATGTTTGTATATTGAAAAAATAACGCGCAAGAGTAAAATGTTTTACGTCATTTATTTATAGATATATATACACACGTACTATTTTAAAATTGTCATAACAAGGTATGAAATAATGTATTTGATTTACGCAGATAAGGGAATGTTAAATGCCGATTCTGGATTACGAGATACAGGCTTGCGTGGCTCAACCTTGATTTTGAATCCATCGTGCCTTTTCAGAATAATGTCGCCTCGTAATATAAAATCTTTATCTGCCACATCAGAAATGATATGGTAATTCCTTAGTATCGTCGATAATAAGACTTTCAATTTCAGCATAGCGTATTTTCGCCCCACACAGGATCTATATAAAATATTTTATAGTCAAATGTAAGAATGCGTCCTGCTGATTTTATGATAAAATATATTTTTTTGTTAAATATGCATGCAGTATTCAATAAAATTATTATATAAAGAACTAAATTAAAGTATATAATTTTCTGTGTCGTACACCTTCGTCTATTAAATACCTTGGTCCAGCACTGAAAGGAATGAAGGCATAGTAATGTCTTTGCTGCATTTTTTCCGGTAGGAAATTGTCTGGATTAAAAACTGTCGGATTTGGATAATATTTTTCCAAACGATGCACTGCGAATTGTGGTATCAACACCGTGGCAGTTTTAGGAAGAATATAATTACCTGTAACTATCGTTTGAAAATGCTTCATTATTTTTGTCTTTAAAATTATACACAAACCAATTTTTATAATAAAGAAATGTTTAATTCGCAATATATTATTATTGCATTCAATCAGATATGCTTACTTATTTTTACGTCTTCGTTAAGTTTTCTAGCAATCGCAGGCACCGGTGGAAAAAGTCTCAGAGTTTCCAAAATAACTCTTTCAAGATATTTCATTTCCAAAGTATCTTGGAAAGTGCATTGCCTGTCGCTGTCGCCGAAAATTGCATCTAATTCTTCATGCACGCGAGTCTGTGTATAGTAAAAATCACACTGTTATATATAAAGATCAATAAGAAATCATCAAGTTGAAGGGACAGCAATCGATTTGCGATTAATATCGAAATCAGAGAGCATCGATAATTCTAACAAGAACGAAAGAAAGTGAATGTCACCCAAACTGCAATGATTAAGGTACGGTTAAAATATATAATTTTAACTTAAACAGATTATTCTAATTAATAATTTATTAAAAATGGGAGATGCGGTTAACGGTAAAAAATTGTTTATAAAAATGTGTGCTTCTTGTCATACTACAGAAATTGGTGGAAAACATAAAAGAGGACCTAATTTACATGACATCATAGGCAGAACTTGTGGAAGTATGTGTATAAATGTGTCGTAAGCTTCTTACATATACAATTTGTCAACTCATTAAAAAGAAACTGTATTACATAATAACACTATATAAATATGTATAAAGTAATAATAATTCCATTTATATAAATATGCAATCTTGACGATACTTATTTGTGTAATGAGTAACTATTTTAATTTTTTTAGCTGTTCCAGGATTTAAATTTTCAGAAATCATGAAAAAAAAAGTTGTTGTATGGAACGAGAAGACTTTACATGATTATCTCGAATTTCCTAATAAGTTTGTTCCAGAAACGCATAAGACATTCCATGCTATTAAAAAAGTCGAAGATCGAAATGATATAATCGCCTTTCTAGCTACTTTAAAATCTAATTAAATCTTTAAAAAATTAGTATGATATCATTATTCGATAAAAACGCAACAAGCAATTAGCATAAAAATACCAGTATCATCGTATAAAATAAGAAACATATATTGTAAAATTATTAGAATACTATAGCACCTTTTTTACATATATGTATTTTCCGTAGAATGTTAATACAAAAATGATTGAAAATACATATATATTAAATATTTTTAATTGTTGATTATTAAACATTATATGCAGGTTGTTATTAAAATTGATGTACGTAGAAAATGATTTATTATATCTGAGAATTTTCTTTTGAAAAAAAGTTACAATATGCATATAAAAGAATATAACACAAAATTGGGTTTTATAATTTTTTGTGAAATAAATATAAAAATAATTAAATATAAAAATTGGTAAAAATTTCTAAAATATTAATATTAAATTGTTGCGAAATTTACCTGAATATCTTGATGATTTCCTAAGACACATAATGCAAAACTCGAGCCGGCGGCCGTGGTATCATGACCCTGTAATACAGATCGATAAATTTGAATAAAAACAAATCGATTTTCAAACAATGGATCAAATTAACATAACTCGTGTACAGTAGCGTGACTTGCAATACATGACTATTTTTAACAAAAGATGTGCAAGAAAATTTAATTACAAAATTTATTCTACATATTAGAAGATTAATTATATAATTGAGTTGACTATATTTAAAAAATGCAGCACGTACCTCAAACATGATAGTATTTACTTCCTCTCGAATCTCCTCGTCAGTCATTTGTCCACCATTTCTTTTCAAATCCAACATCATATCTAGGAAGGCAAGTCGTTTCTTTTCACTTACGTCGTTTTCATCGATGTCATCAAGATCATCTCTTACATAATGCAGCTTTGTATATTTAGTAACATTATTTTATCATTTCCGTCATTTCTGGTTGCATTTAAACTTTCCATAGGCTTGCTGTTTAGCACTTCTTTTTGCTGTTGATTTTTATACATTTCTCTTCGATTTCCTTAGATTTCTCTTCAATAACACGATTTGTCAGTGTGTGAATAATATTGAGCAATTTCTCTTGCTTCTTCGCAAACTTTGAAAGTTTAAAAATTAAGTCAGAACGTAATGAAAAATTATAATGCCTTCGATGTACAATATCGCTCATTCTGCAACATTTCAATTATTATTACATTGAGTTTTTTCGTTACAAATGTAATAATAATATAGCAATATAATTTTAAGACAAAAACAATATCTACTTCATCACGGCTACGGCATAATCATATCCAGTGCTTTGCCTCTTTTCTCTTTTGATTCCCATCGCAGTTTCAGTTAAAATGTCAACTGTTACACCTGATAGATAATCATGACAGTCGAACTCTTTTCCAACTTCATCGCGAAGTCGTCTCACGAGATCCATGCTATTCTCATAAAACAGAGGTACAAACGTCTTCAAAATACTCGTGTGGAATGTAGGCGCTATCACTTTTCTATGTCTGCGCCATTTATCGCCAGTTGTGATAAGCAAACCATCTCCGAGCCATGGTTGAAAAAATCTATATAAGGAGAAGAAAAATTTGAAGCTGTCGAAATCTCTCCTTTATTTAATGTAATAATACTAAAAATCACTCAGTGTGAAATTATATAACTATATTAATTTTATAAAAACATTATAATATGTAGATTTTTGATTATTTGATTTCTTACTCGTATTCCACGGATTTGTCGATGTGTGCAGGGTTACTTAAAATTATTTCAATATCCTGTGGATCTAACAGAAAGATGACTACTCTTGTTCCCAAATATCCGCCTAATACTAATCCGTATGTATTAAGATATTCCATGGTTTTGGATACTGTGATCTCTGGAGACAGTCTAAAAGTGATTAATGCGTGACCTAATATAGGTACATGTGGTGGACCTGAAGCAAAGGAGCTTAATGTTAAATATTAAGTAAAATATATAACTTGAAAATCGATTCTTATTTTATAACAAAGAAATATTATTACTTATCAAATTAAATTCATTTTTGTTGAATACTTACATGGTAGCTTTTTCACAAAGCAAACTGCTCTAGAACACTCGACGTAATAATACAATGTAATTAACGTTAGGATAAGTATAGCCAGCACACAATAAGCTATATTAGATAAATACAATATTGTCGCGTCCATTGCAATGACAATATTATATTTTATTTTGATATTACTATATTACGATCAACTGTTTTATAATAACGACGATGTTATTCAAGTTTTTTGTATAACGCTATTAATTAATAGAATCACTTTAAAAAATTATAAAAAATTCAATTTTTTCTTATTTTTTATCGCCAATCGTGAAAGCGTCAAAGATTTTCACAGTTTGTATAAAATTGGTTTTTATATAAATATTCCAATTTGCTCGCAACAGTCAGTAAAAATAGTTGTTCAAGAATGACACACGATGACAGTTTCGCTATCACTACTGCGACTCACTCAGGCAGAGAATTGTCTATCTAACTCTCTTCTCTTAAAAAGCTCATAAAATAGGAAGTTAGCTCATAAAATATGTCGTTGGTTTTGTATGGAAATTTTATCTTGCATTCTTAATGTGTATATAAAATACATTAATTTACCACAAGTATGGCGCCATAACACAAAAGTGGCGTCATAGTGGTGAAAGATAACATCAGAATTGCAATAGACCGGTTACCGCTTTTTTATGGTCATTCTTTAATGATTTGGGTGAATATATCTCAATACTTACATATGTATAGTTTTAATTATCATTTCCTCACCTAAATTGACGTTGGAATTGACGTCAATACAAATTTTGAGGTCATATGTCTCGTTCA